CTTGATCCAAATGGCCATCTGCTGAGAACTGGTTAATTAATTTATTGGCTGTTTTTTGTTTTCTTGTGTCAACTCGGCTAGGCTGCACTCCCCAGTTACGGAATTAGACACTACACTAGGTGTTGCTGTGAAGGGATTCGGCGGATGCAATAAGAGCCCCTAATGAGACATTACGGATAATCCCAGGGAGCATCCTGGATCACGTTGGTGGGCCTGGTTCAATCAGTTGAAAGGCCTCAGAAGCAGAAGCCTTAAAAGCTGAAGCTTCCGTGAAAAAGAAATTGCGCCTGTGAACAGCAGTCTCACCCGTTCCTGTGGAACCCATCCTGCTCACACTTTCCCTCCGGTCTGCCTCAGAAAACTTCGCCTGTGAGTTCCTCCTGCCTGTGGTCTTCTGTTCTGGCCACGGGCCCTGTGGGTTTCAGGCTTGCTTAGCCAGCACCCACAACCCATAAGCAAATTGCTTGTAATAAATATGTACATTTACATATATTCTGTACTGGTTCTGCCTCTCTTGTTGAAGCCTGACTGACACCCACAAACTGGAAGGGGAGGCGCCTGAAAGGAATGAGGTATGCATCCGAGGCCCTCCCAGGCCCCACAGAGAGTAATATGCTAGTAAAGGAAAATGATAAGGTAGAAGCCTTACTTCTGGGTTAAAAAGGCAGGTTGATAAATAAACTTAATTTTGTTTCTCTATTAAAGCAAAGTAAATAGCCCGGCCAGTGTAGCTCAGTGGCGGAGCATTAACTCATGCACCCAGAGGTCGCCTGTTCGGTTCCCGGTCAGGGCACATGCCTGGGTTGCGGGCTCAATGCCCAGTGTGGGGGCGTGCAGAAGGCAGCAGGTCAATGTTTCTCTCTCATTGATGTTTCTATCTCTCTCTCCTTCTCCCTTCCCATCTCTGAAATCAATAATGATAAAAAGTAAATATAGGAAGAGGATTTCTTTTTTAAATTTTTTTATTTTTTATTTTATTGATTTTTTACAGAGAGGAAGGGAGAGAGATAGAGAGTTAGAAACATCAACGAGAGAGAAACATTGATCAGCTGCCTCCTGCACACCTCCTACTGGGGATGTGCCCGCAACCCAGGTACATGCCCTTGACCGGAATCGAACCTGGGACCTTTCAGTCCGCAGGCCGACGTTCTATCCACTGAGCCAAACCGGTTCCGGCAGGAAGAGGATTTCTTTTAAAAATACATCAATCTAGAAATAAGGGGAGAGCAGAGAGGCAACGACTGCAAAGTTATTTTAGAAGCCGAAAGCAGGTGGACCCATGGCAGCACAGTGGAGAGCAGTGATGCCATCGATGTCCAGTGCATTCCGACCCCCACGGTCCAGCAGAACAGAGGCCCATTCCTCTTGCTGGCATTGTCGGGCCGAATCTGAGCCCCCCTGCTTTCATTGTCGGAGGTAAACTGGCATTTTCTTTCCTGGTTGCTTGGACAGTTACACACAGGAGTTACTCTTGCAGGCCATGTGCAGAGCAGCACTGTTCAACGCGTCGTTATCACTGTGGACCCTGAGAGAGAAGGTGCCTACAAGAAGGGCTCCCGCTGGCTCACTGGGCTCAAATGTAAAAAACAGCCTAGCAGTCATTTCTACACGGGCCTCTCACGCCACCTGCCCCTTGGAGAGGAGGGTGCACGGAACTACCACCCCCTGCACTGTGTTTCTGCCATATGAGCCAGCCTTACTAAGGGGTTCCTGGAATCCTATTTCAACCAATAGGACTGAGGTTTCCCCCATCCAATCAGAGCTGCACAGCTATAGCCCCATCAGCTTCTTCACTGACCAATCAGAGCAGCTTCAATCAGGACGGTCAGTGCCTTTTGGATCAAACTATAAGGAATTTGAGTCCTCATTTGCATGAGGATGGGCCAATCAGGGATCAGGAGTGGGTTTTCCTGTGTATATAAGTCAGGTCCCCTCTGGTCTGAAACTGCACTTGCCCTTTCTGAAGACTGAAGACTAGTCTCCCCAGTTGAGCTGAAACACTGCAACACTGAAGCTGTCCGCCCGGAGCAGAGCGGAGCAGACCAGCACAGCAGCAGGGCGGAGCAGAGCTGTCTGGCTGGAGAGAGGCCCAGCCCCTAGTTCTGAAATCCTGTCTTACAATTTTCGTGAGAAAGCTTCCCAGGAGTAGCCCTGGAATTTGGAATGGAGGAAATTTGTTTCACAGGCCTTCCTGAATTCCATATTTAAGCTCTCCCTCCACTGACCGAACTTCTGCCAGACAGTGAGGCCCTGGTCCTTGAAGAGCGCTGCCACCTGAACTCATTGTGTGACGCCCCCTGGTCCCAGGACTCCTAGAAGTCCTTGCTCACTGACCCGTAGAGGGGCTCTTATAAACTCCCCGGGAGGCTGAGCTTCACTCTGACCCACAGGTCGCACTCCTTTTTCTGGCCAACTTCATCTAAAGGGGCAAAGGAGTGCTCCCCCGACGTGGCTAAGTTTGTGCTTGATGCCTGGTGTTTTCAAAACTGAACTGTTTCAAGATATCTCCAGTGGGGGGTAAAAACAGGAAACAAAGACATGATTAAACCACAAGTCAGTAAGCAACTACTTGGTGGAAAATGGGGAGAATTCAGCTGGGCTGGGCATAAGGTGGCTTCTAAGGTAGTGTTGTGCTCCTTAGAGACAACATCCATCTTATTCTTTGGAACATACATTTATACTATAGATGTCCTTCTGTGTGTGTGACACATTTCACAGGTTAAAACACACACAAACTCGTAATAGCAAGAATTGCAGGGGCAACACTGAGAGGCTGGAGACCATGTTCCAGAGGCGTGAGCATCGGAGACTCACAGGCTAGACTCCCAGGAGAAGGGAGTCTCGGGGGCCAGCTGCCCAAGGCCCAGGCTCGGAGCCTTTCCCCTGCAACAGGACCGTCACTCCCAGGCCAGCCCAGCGTCCCCAGGGGGAGTTCCGCTGCCTCTGAGCCCCACCCTGTGCTTCCTCGGTTGGCATCCGTGACCCAGGTGGCCCTCTACCCTGTCAACTCACTGCGGGCAGCAGCTCAGCTTCCTAGCACCAAACTGCAGTTGGCTGCTCTGCTCAGCCTCAGAGATTTTTCTCAGCCAAGAAGAGGCCCGAGGCTTTGGGCCATTGCTTAGCTCCTAACCCAGACTCCTTCCGTTTCTGTTCCTAAGCATCCGGCCTCAAACTCGCCCCCAGCCTCCCGCAAGCCACGTGCGTCAGGGCTCCTGGAACTGGGGTTTGCTCAGCCTCTGCAGGGCTGGGGGAGGTGGGCACAGGCGTCAGCACAAGAAGGGGCCTTGGTGATCACGCAGTCTGTGCTGTCTTTGAAGGCCGGGAGCAACCGACCAAGGCCTCCTGGCTGGAGCTGTCAGCTCTGCCTTTCCAGAAAGACCTGAGCCTGCATACGAGACACCGAACTGGGGGAGACTCAGGGAACAGTGCCCCCCACCCCACCCCCACCTGGTCTCAGTGGCTCAGAGCAGAGCAGGAATCCCCTCCCAGGCTGCCCTGCACGGCCTTGGTGCATCCCCAAAGTGTGTGGGCTCAGCAACTTGACTGGCCCTCCCTCCATTTTTAAAAGGTGGAATGAATTTTGCCTTGTAATTATAAAAGAAAACCAAGTTTCTCATAGAAAATTTGGAAAATACATCTAAAGAAAACGAAATTACTCATAATGTGCCAGGGTTGTTCTCAAGCATCTAGATTGGATTCAGGAATCTGAAAGGACTGCAAGTAAATTAATAGAGACTAGACACTAGACATGAAATATAAATTGGAAGGCATTTTGGGGGAGCCAGAAGAAGCTTAGCTTTAGTAACTAAGTTCCTCGAATCTCTGCACCCAGGGCTTTTTATTCCCACATTTTGTCCTCTAGCAAAGCAGATATACATATCAAAGGTAAAGTTTGGTAAACAGTAAGATGATCAGGGTGGGGGAACTGCCCTCAGCTGTCAGGCAGCAGGCTATAATATGTGCAGATCTTCAGGTTTGGGGAAATGCTTTCAGCTATTCCAGCAGCAGGTAATGATTCAGCCCTGCTGAAGCCTCAAGTTCCATCAACCTTTTGATGAACTCCTTGCATTTATTATGACATGCTGGAATTAGCCTCCAGCAATAATGTCCCAAGTGCAAGCTATTATGTTTTGGGCAACATGACTGAGCTCTTTAAAAGAACCCGTTCCCGAAACAAGCAGCATTCCCTGCATACATTTACCCTGTAGGTGACAAAATTGTCACAGCAACTGCCCCCTGAGAACAGCGCTGCGTCTGGGCTGCCAAGGAGGTGCGGGCAGCTCTGTGGCTGGATGCATGTGGGTAGGGCTGTGCCCTCGGTCCCAGCCAGTGGACCACAGGTGAGGCTGAGTGCGGGTCCACGATGGAACCTGCAGGAAAGGACCAGCGGTTGGCCTGTCCCCACAGCAGCAAGAGGCTTTTCCAGGCCCCCAAGCTCCTCCACACAAGAGAAGAGGAGGGCTCCTCAGTGCCCCAGGCCTCGGAGCCTTTACTGCAACAGCCCTGGCATCCCGGCTACTTCTCCCAGCCTCCCCACCCCTGGAACACAGGCTGCTCCGGAGAGCCCTGCAGTGCTGGGGGCATTGTCACAGCCCCGCCAGGCTGCCCCCTCACTCCAGGCTGGGCCTTCCTCCTGCAGACAAGGCCTTGACTGGGAACATTATGGGGTCCCTTCCCCTTTGCTTTCCAGGGCCCAAACCTGCAGGCCTGAATGTGAGCACCTGAGGGCAGGATCTGAGTCTTGCAATCAGCCACCTGGTTGCAGGCGCACCCATGCTGTGCTGGACAGATGGGCGGATGGAAGGACGCACGGATGGTCGCATGGGAGGGGAGGAAGGAGTCAGAGAGAGGCTGATGCAGCAGGAAAAGGGGCTACTGATTACACTGGAGCTGGAAAGAGCCCACACATCAGCTGGTTCCTGCTGCCAGGGACGAAGGAATTTAGGAAGAAGCAGGAAAAGACGGGAAACAGTAAGTACAGGCGCCTTCATCACAACAAGTTACAGAAATTGACCTTTATTTATTGTACTAAAGTCTGTTTTTCTTTTGATACAAAGTAAGGTTTCATTACAGAAAATCCCAGTCTGTTGGAACAGTACCTGTGCACACTGTACCATCACAGTCCCACTGTCTGCAGCTCAGAGCAACGCCCCGAGAGCGCGTAAGACTCGAGACAGCCTCGTGTCTCGGCTGTCTGAGCTAGAAACTTGTACCTGTAAAACGAAGGGCAGCATTGAGGACCCAGACGTGTCTCTCTTTGAACAACTGTGCAAGAAAATATATCCCTTTTTAAAAAATGTCAGTATGGCTACACTATCATCTAGTGTCTAGAATTACAAAGGCTAAAATGAAATCAAGGATTTCTTGCTAGTAAAATGAAATGTTAGGAACAGTATTAAAATATAGTCCTACCCCAGTGACACACGGAGCCCAGTACAGTACCTATTAACAACAGGATGCACAGTTTAGGGAGGAACCACATCAAATCTGCAGCCAGAGATACCCAGCGTCAGAAGTGCAAAAAAAAAAAGAAAAGACAAAAGTCCCAACGAAGACATCTTCAAGGAGCACTGGGCATGCCGGGAGCGCTGCAGCCAAGACTAAAGGATCCTGCCCGCTTTTTAGATTTCGACAGTGACAACACTAACCACTAGGCTCCCCCGAAGACTCTCAAAGTTTGAAACATTTTCCATGTCCAAAAGAGCTGACGTGTCTGCTCCCGCTACAGTTTGAGAAGTACCCTGCAAACATTGCACTGAGAAAGGCTGTCTCTATTTACAGAACCTACAGAGGACCAACAGCATGCATCAGCTGAGCCTCCTGCTAGAACCAGTCGCCGGCGTGAGCCCGGGAGGCTCCGAAGGACAGAGAGAGGCGGAAACGACCAAGGCAGGTGGAGGAGAGATGAGAGGGCGTGCAGGCAGGAGGGAAAGTCTGAGACGAGTCTGTGAGATGCCAGTGTCGCCTGCCCTGCTGTGGGCAGGGCAACCACTGCCGCTGGCGAGTCGGCCCCACGAAGGCACTGGTTCTGCCACCACCGACGTCCAAGCATCTGCCATGGCGCTGTCCTTCCGGGAGAGACGCCACCGAGGAGTAGAGGTTTTCAGAGCTCTGGTCCCACCACGAACCTTCCAGAGCAGAGCAGCCCACTGAGGTTCCAGAGTAGTTTCGCTGAAAACAGGAACAAAACCAAAACACGAAAGCAACACGGGATGGACAGGGGCAGGGGCTGGGCACCAACAACATGGGCCGTTCAAGTAAACAGAAACAACCAAATACTTAGAAAGGCTTGTAAACTTGGGATATGAAAGGTTCTCTGCAGCATCGCGGATCGCGGCCTCGGAAGGCTGGTGTGGAACCTCTAGCAGGAGTCCCGGGTGGTTACTGTTTTTGTCTTAAAGCACACGTGTGAGGAAGGCGGTCTGTGCGTCTGCGGCCCACTGTCTGGGGCCCTGCTGGTGGACCCTCCTCCGGTGCTCATACTCCGATGGACTTTCAGTCAGAGAAGCTGAGCCAGGACGGACGCCGCTGACAAGCTGCCTCTGTTCCCAGCACAGCGGCCTACGGCGGGCAGGCTGGAATCCACAGGACTTTGCTCTGCTCTTGGCTGACCAAGGCCACGATCTGATCGCAAATGCTCGACAGGGCTCCTCCCTGGACGACCCCTGCAAGAGGAAGACCCCAGGTTCGAGGCAAATAAATACACCCTCTATCTACTCTTTCTGTTTCTCCGCCTATTTTGAGCTCCTGCCTCTCTGCTGTCCACTCTCTTCAATCAGCAAGAAATTGGGGAAGAAAAAGAGTTGAATACAAATCACTTTGGCTTTTTATCTGTCTCTCTGGTCCACTGTTCAGCAGGATGCTGGAAGCATGGGCTTAAATGAAGGTGGGTGTCAAACTCTGCCAGGCTTCCCCAGCCTGTCACAGGGTAACCAGATGTAACCCTGGGCATGACATGCGAGTCGGCCTGGTGCCCCAGTCTTGCCCCTGGGGAGCCCAGCAAATCGGAAAGCCATTTGGGGGCGTGTTATGAAGGTCTGATCCGCAGCAGAATTGTGCAGGAAATGGGTTAGGAGCTGGGCATCCCATGGACCATAGAGGATTCCCAGCAAAGACGTGATGTTTCCATGTATGTTCCAGCCCTGCTCACAGGCTTTCCAGACCACGGGCCCTGAGACACCAGCCAGGGCGTTCAGTGTGCTGCACAGAACATGCAGTGGACAGAGCGTGCCCCAGGTGCCCGCCACGGGCATGACCAGGACTTGCTGGGGAGCGCTAGAAACTGCTATAGACATGTGACAGAATCTGTGTCTGTTGAATCTAATAAAGAAGCAAGGCCTGTATTTTATAAGTTTGGAGTTTTAGATCTTCATTTCTCTAGTAACTGTTAAAATATTTGACTGAAATACTAGTCTGTGGTGGACTGGAAATTCACACACACACACATCCACGGGGAAGCACCAAGGTTGGTTCTGAGAACAACCACTGCACGCAAAGCACAGATCCAGCAGCCTCCATGCCACGCCAATCACTGCCACACCTCTCCGCGCCCACACCCCCCCCACCCCCACAAATGACTAACGCTGTGGAAGAGGCTGAAAGCCACAGGGTCAGTGACAGCCAGCAGCTGGGCCAGGCCTGTGGCCGTTTGCTTCGCTTCAAAGACCAGGGATGGTAAGGTCACAGCTTTTCTTTACCAAACCTCAAGGCAAAACTGATCTGCCTGGAGGTGCTGGGAGCACAGGGTCAGAGCCGCCCTGTGCTGCCGCCCGGGAACCCAGAAGCTGTGCTACAGGCTGTGAGACAGACCTGCCACTGCACACGTGACAGACCTGGGTGGACAGGCCAGACCATGCCTGAGGCCAAATCAGGGAGCTTTACCCCTCAACCTATTGAATTCCTGACGCTGCCCTGTGCCTGCCATCAGAGCATCTGAAATGAGTGTTGTCAGGGGCATCACTGGCCCCCAGCAAGCATGGGCTGTGCCACTTCTAATTCTCTTCGGGACACCCGATTCCCTGCCACCTGCTGCTCCCCGAGCGATGCACACCTACCTGTGAAGTACCTACTGTACTCCTGCTCAATCTTCTGAGCCGTCTCAAACTGCTCTTTGGAATGCCTCTGTGTCACCTTGTCCTTCAGGTACACGGGGTCTCTCTGCTCCCTGTGGGGACATGCAGGGAACCGAGTGAGCCTCACACTTCCCCGGCCCTTCCTCTTCCGTTCCTTTGTCCAGAGCAGGGGTCCTCAAACTACGGCCCGCGGGCCACATGCAAATACAAATATTGTATTTGTTCCCGTTTTGTTTTTTTACTTCAAAATAAGATATGTGCAGTGTGCATAGGAATTTATTCACAGTTTTTTTTTAAACTATAGTCCGGCCCTCCAACGGTCTGAGGGACAGTGAACTGGCCCCCGGTTTAAAAAGTTTGAGGACCCCTGGTCCAGAGTAACAGGATCCCTGTGTGCTTCCTTTGTAAGCACAGCCACAACCTGCAGGCTCCATGGGGAGCTCTGGGCAGAGGTGGAGGGGGGCACCCCCGTGCACGCACATAACAAGCAGACACCCCATCGGCCCCCGAGAGCAGGTACCAGACACTTGGAAGCACAAACAGGCAAAAGGGAGGGGCCTTGATGAGCTGTCAGCCCAACTGGAGGTCGGGGAGCAGAGGCTCAACCACGACACAGCCTGCTTCTGGCGGAGCTGGGCGCCCAGGCCCGCTACCTCCTGTGTCCTGTGAGCACCAGCTGAGAGGCAGGAGAGGGAATGGGGACGGGGCGGGAGAGGAGCTCTGCAGACAAAGCTGGACCTACTCAGAGCTAGGGCAGCACCCAAACAGGGCAGAGGGGGGCGGGCAGGGAGGGGTGAGCCAGGCTAACACTGTCCGGCTCTGAACGTGTCAGCAGCTTGAGGCGGAAGAGTTGTTCTCACATGTGCTGCCTATTCCAAGGCCAACAGGCGGGTCTCATTCTTCCACTCCCACCCGACGCCCAGCACCACCACCCTGGCCGTGGCAGCAGCAGCCCAGCCAGGCCCCGGGCCGGGCCCAGGAGCCCCCACCTACTTGATGTGCTTGGCGCTCCTGTAGTGGATGAAGATGACGATGGGGTAGATGTGCATGTGGTGCAGCCGCTCGATGGCGTGGGGGGCGACGTCCAGCAGACAGTGCCAGTTCTGCGGGGGGCGGCGGAGAGTGAGCGCCAGGGGCAGGCCTGGGGGCCAGGCCTCGGAAACACCGCAGCCCTTCTGGGGACACTTCCGCTTTCTCTGCCACCAATGGGGCCCACCTGCCCCTCACAGGCGCTTCCTCGCTCCACAAATGAACACCAAGTTCCACCCATGAACAAAGAAGCGCGGCCATCTCTCATGAAGACGAGGCATGACAAACAGTGGGAAGCTAACCCCAAACTCTCCCCCCACAGCTGTCGGCGCTGTGGGGTCAAGGCTGGGAGCCAGCGCCCAGTGGGGGCTGGATGGACGACCACAAACTTCCTCTCCTGCCTTTGCCCAGATATGGGGAACTCTTTAAGCGCTACCCGACCTTGCCCTCCGATGAGCAGGGCCTGTGGTGGTGGACGGAGTGTCTGTCCTTGGGGGACTGAGACTGAAATGCACTTACAGCTCTAAGAGGCCCGGGAAGGCAGGGCCTGAGGAGCACCCACAGCCTCGAAGGTGCCTTTCCCACACGCCCTGAGATGTCTACTTTCCCTCATGCAAGTGGAGCCCAGAACCTCCTAGAACCTAAAGACCCACAGCAAGGGCTGCTGGCCCACCCAGGGGCAGGGTCCTGACGGAGCCATGGGCCCTGTCCCAGCAAAGGCACAGGAAAGCTCTGCATCCAGCTCAGCAGACGTGTATGGGAACCAGCTGTAGACCTCCCTGGAAGAGGCACCCGTGCACAGGGACTCCTGCACCCTCCCCCACACCCCCTACACATGGTAACTCCTGCATCCCTCCCTCACACCCACTACACATGGTGACTCCTGCACCCTCTTACACCCTTTACACATGTTGATTCCTGCACCCCCTCTTACACCCCCTACACAGGGTAACTCCTGCACCCTCCCCACACCCCCTACACATGGTGACTCCTGCACCCCTCCCTCGCACCCCCTACACAGGGTAACTCCTGCACCCCTCCCTCGCACCCCCTACACAGGGTACCTCCTGCACCCCTCCCTCACACCCACTACACAGGGTACCTCCTGCACCCCTCCCTCACACCCACTACACATGGTGACTCCTGCACCCTCCCTCACACCCCCTACACAGGGTGACTCCTGCACCCTCCCTCACACCCCCTACACATGGTGACTCCTGCACCCTCCCTCACACCCCCTACACATGGTGACTCCTGCACCCTCCCTCACACCCCCTACACAGGGTGACTCCTGCACCCTCCCTCACACCCCCTACACATGGTGACTCCTGCACCCTCCCTCACACCCCCTACACAGGGTGACTCCTGCATCCCTCCCTCACACCCACTATGCATGGTGACTCCTGCACCCCTCCCTCACACCCATTACACATGGTGACTCCTGCACCCTCCCCCACACCCACTACACAAGGTGACTCCTGCACCCTCCCCCACACCCCCTACACAGGGTGACCCCTGCACCCTCCCCCACACCCCCTACACAGGGTGACCCCTGCACCCTCCCCACACCCCCTACACAGGGTGACCCCTGCACCCTCCCCCACACCCCCTACACAGGGTGACTCCTGCACCCTCCCCCACACCCCCTACACAGGGTGACTCCTGCACCCTCCCCCACACCCCCTACACAGGGTGACTCCTGCACCCTCCCCTACACCCCATGCACAGGGTGACCCCTGACCCCTCTCCCTGACCGGCTTCCTCTTCCTGAAAGTGGAAGCACAGAGCAGCCATGGGCCAGCCCCAAGCAGGCTCATCCGGACTGAAGGGCACAGGTGAGCTCACCGAGGGTCTGGGGCTGCACGGGGAAGCACCAAAGGCTCCAACAGGGGCAAACACTCGGTCTGAAGCAGCAGGTACCTTTTCTGTGATCTCCTTTATGGAAGCCACCGTGGTCACGTCGAAATGGCCGCTCCTGCGCTTGTAGTCGACAAACAGGCAGTCTTTGACGCCTCGCTCAATGGCCTGCTGGGAGGCCTTCATCACCTCTGTAAGCAGACACAGGCTCAGGAGGCGGCACCGCGGAGCGCCCTGCGGGGAACTCTGCAGAGGGGCCCTAGCACCCAGTCCTGCCGTCCTCTCTCCAGAGAAAGCCGCAAGCTATGCCCCATCTAACCCCAGTCAGAAGGGCTCGGAAACATGGGATCCGGCCCAGGAGATTGAGGGAAGGGGCACGGGGACGAGCATGGGGCCCTTACCCAGGGGGCATCTGCAGAACTTGCTGGGCTCCTTGTTCACCAGCATTTCCTTCACCACGTCCAGTAATGGCCCCAGGATCAGGACGGGCCTCAGGGAAGTACAGTCTACTTTCTGGACCCGCTGGTAGGCAAGGCTCACCGAATCTGAGAGGGGAGAGGGGCAGTGTCATGGCAACCGCCTGGGGTGAGGGAGGGGGAGGAGCTGGGGACACCGTGGTCCCGTTCTTGCTAACTCCAGGCAGGCTCACCCCTACACTCCACAAACCCAGCGCCAGGCAGTGTGGACAGCTCACCCGAGTCTGCCTGGAACTTGCCCAGTCTTAGCACTGGAGTCCCACGTCCCGGGCACAGCGGGGCACAGTCATGCTGGAGTCCAGCACAACTCCCCAGTCTGTGAACACCCGAGTCATCTCACACCTCGGCTGCTGAAACCCTTCCTTCTGTGTCATAGGCCTGCTCACCCACCCCCACTCCTCATTCTCTGCTCTAGGGATCTGCTGCCCAACAATGCAAGTGTCCATAACGCCACTGAGCTGGATACTTAAAAATGGCTATGATGGCAGATTTAATGATATGTGTTTTTACCACAAAAATATCAAATGGCAACTATAACTAAAATATGCGATTTCTGAAATAAGAACGTGTTGAACACAACAGAAGAGTGCACTGTGAACAGGAAAACGGTCAGGAGAAAGCACCCAGGCTGAAGCATGGAGAGAAACAAAATGGAAAATGTCGGGGGGAAAGTGTAAAACACGTGGGGAAATGGTCAAAGAAGTAAGATAGAGCCCTGACTGGTGTTTCTAAGCAGTTAGAGCATTGGTATACGAACCAGAGAGTCACGGGTTCGATTCCGGATCAAGGGCATGTACCTGGGTTGCAGGTTCAATCCCTGGCCCTGCTGCTGGTCGGTGGTACAGGAGGCAACCAATTGATGTGTTTCTCTCACATCAATGTTTCTCTCTCCCTCCCCCCTCCCTCCCTTCTTCTCTTTCACTCTTTCTAAAAATCAATGGAAAAACAATATTCTTGGGAGAGGATTCACCAAAAAATAATAATAATAAGATACAGGAGAGGAAAGAAGAGCACAGAAGCAGCTTTAAAGAAACAGTGGTCAGGCCCTGACTGGTCTGGCTCAGTGGATGGAGCGTCGGCCTGTGGACTGAGGGGTCCCGGGTTCGGTTCCGGTCAGGGGCGTGTGCCTTGGTTGCGGGCACATCCCCAGTGTGGGGTGTGCAGGAGGCAGCTGATCGATGTTTCTCTCTCATAGATGTTTCTGGCTCTCTGTCCCTCTCCCTTCCTCTCTGTAGAGATCAATAAAATATATTTAGAAAAAAAAGAAAAAAAAAAAGAAACAGTGGTCAGGCATTGTCCAAGTGACACAATTTTCCAAACTCTAAATCTATGTGCACTTCTCCATACATATATTATACTTCAATAAAATGAAAAAAGAATTAGTCACCATGGGTTAAAAAAAACACTACTTACAAGAGACGTATAAATATAAAGCTACAAAAGTTTAAAGTAAAAAGATAGAAAAAGATGAACTGTGTGAACACGAACCAAAAGAAAGCTGTTATAACAGTAACATCAGACAAAACAGACTTTAAGGCAAGAAACATTCCTAGAGATAAAGATGTACATCTCATGATGATAAAAGGATCAGCTCACCAGGAAGATATAACAATTCAAAAGGTGTATGCACCTAAAGACAACTTCAAAAAACAACTGATGAACTAAAAGAAAAACAGACAAATAGCTATTTTTCAGAGATAGTAATATATCCACTGAGCACACAACAAATATGCCTGAGATGGTGTCTATGGAAGAAAGGGAATGGGGATATTGAAAGTGGAGATCAAAGAAATAAAAGAAGGAAAGAAACAGAAAACTAAATGAGAAACCCAAGAGGTCGGCAGATTTTTTCTATTAAGGGCAAGATGGTAAATATTTTAGGTTTTAAAGGCCAAAAGGCAAAATCAAGTACTATAAATGCTGACTTTCTTACACTTTACCATGTAAGAGCCCAGTCTCAGCAAGCAGGCAGTGGGCTACACTCGGTCCAGGGGCTGTGGGATGCTAACTCCTATCCTGACTCAGAGTGACAGGGAGCCTGAGGCCTTAATTTAAGACATTAAGAGGGGAAGGAGGGGAGAGAATGAGGGGAAGGAGGAACGGCTGCCTGCCCTCTGCTGCTCACTGCCACCTCCACACCCAGAAGGGCTCCTGTTCTGGGACCGTGGACACATTCCAGGGTCCCAGGAGCAACACACACAAGCACCTCCTGCTTTATGGGACGAGCACACCCTCTCCTCAGGGGCAACCTGCCAGGGGATGTCTGGCTCCTGATATGCAACTCCAGGTCGGGCAGCGCCCAGCCCTGGGAGGATCTTGTAAAAATCATGAATGGACACAAAAGTGAGGCCAGAAAGGGGCAAAGATCTGCAGAGACCAGTGGTCCTTGGCACCACCAAGTAGGGCCTGTCCTTCCCGAGTAACAGGACCTGCGTCACTGGAGGCCAGGATGTGCCAGCCAAAACCCTGCCTGGGTCACGCTCTCGCACATGAGAGTGGCCACCGAGACGCAGCAGAAGCTGCAGGGTGAGCTGTTCAACAGCCACACTCAGCTGAGACACGCTTTGCCTGGCCCCTTCCTCCTTCCTGCTGCCGGGACATGGGCGTGATGGCTGGAGCTGCAATGACAGGTGGTGACCATGGGGAGGCCTTGAGGAAGGAACCCACATCCGATAGACGGGAGACTGAAGACAGTGGCACCACCATGCCAACCCAGACACCTAACTCTAGATGACTTCTGTGCAAAAGCAAAGCAAACCTCTAACTTATTTAAGTGGTTGCTGTGAGGATTCTGCGGTCAACAGCAAACCCGATCCTGAAAGCCCGTCGGCAGAGTGAGCTCAGCCACTTGCCTTCAAAGAGTGGAATGGAGTCGTTGGAAAAGGCATCCAAGGCCAGGAGGTCTTTCCCATCTTTGGACCCGCTGCGCTTGTGCTTGTGTCTTCTTCGAAAGAAGGATCTGCGCGCAGCCGCGGACAGCGTCTTGGAGGCGTTGCTGTCATCTTTGACTTCCGACATGCTGAGCCTCCTGGAGAATTCTTGGTCCATCCTGCACCACAGGGAATGGCAGAGCTGGGAAGGGCCCATCTCCCGCCCCGCCTGCCCCTGAGGAGGGCGAGGGCTGGAAGTCCAAGCTCCACCCATACTCCTCTGCAGGTCTCCTGGGCACTTCACCCCCCCAGGCCACCGAGGAGCCCCGGAACCACTGCTGTGGGGCGAGCTCTCAGAGCAGGCAACGTCTATTCAGATGGCGTCCAAGGACCAGGACAGCCTTCGCTGGGAGGCACTGCAGGCCACGCTCCCTGCCACAGGGGAACGGAGCTCTGATGCACACTGCAGCATGAATGTTACGCTAAGGGAAGAAGCCAGTCACGGAGACCACAGCTCTATGATCCCTTCCCTACAAAGCCCAGAACAGGGAAACCTATAGACAGGGAAAGTAGATGCGTGGTTGCCTAGGGTTACGGGGGGGCAGGGAAGGCAGAGAGGGACAGCTAACGGGGCCGGGGCTGCTTAGGTGATGAGACTGTTCTAAAATTTGTGGTGATAGTTGCACATATCTGTGAATATACCAAAAGCCACGAATCACACACTTCGAGTAAATTGTACGATATGTGAATTATTCCTCAATAAATCTGTTAAACATTTTAAAAAGCTGTCTCCTCAGCTGCCACTGTGCTTCTGTGCAGCGCTGACCCATGCACGGCAGTGGCTTGCGCTAGGAGCAGCTTTCAGACAGCGATTTTGGAAGACGAGTCGACCAGAAGCCGAGATGAGTAGCAGAACGAGTCCTCCGTCTGGGGGAGAGTGCCACAGGCACCCCCCCACCCCCAAGGCCCCCCACAAAACACTCACACGTATTTGCTGGGGATCTGCCCGCGCTGGATCTTCTGGGCGTTCTCGTCCAGCTGCCAGGCCATCCAGGACCCAAACGTGCCCTGGGGCAAGGTGTCTTCGACATAGAGGATGTCGTCTTTCTTAAAGCTCAGCTCATGCTCCACCTCCGCCAGCCGGTCGTACAGGGCCCTGCGCCAGGCGACGAGGGAGAGAGAGGATCAGGAGCCACAGCCTCGACAGCCAAGCCCCAGGTATGCTCTGCTCTGAGCTTCCCCAGACCAGGATCAGGACCTGCTGTCTGTCCTCGTCCGAAGAAGGGAGCCGGGCTTTACTAACGGACAAAGCCGCTGCCTTTCCTCCCTGAGACCCAGGCGACCTGGGGGGAGGGGGGAGGGGAGGGGCCTCATGCCCATAAGGCAGAGAACTTGCCAAGGACCAAGGTCATGTCCACCCGTCCATGAGAAATCTCCCTTGGCCTTCCTCCCCGAGTCCAGGCTGATGGCTCCTACAGCCTGGAAACTCCCCAGGATGGAAACACGTCAGCCCACCATGGAGGGGGCCCTAGAGACGGGGACCTACACACAGCTGACCGGTGTTCTGGTTCTTTCTGTGGCCTCAGATTTTAGGGAATAGGAAGGAAGCTATGAGCACCCCCTAGAAACTGCCAGATGCCTATCCCCCATACATTGCAGGACAGTGTGGACACACGGCAGAGGATCGACAGACCTGGGTCGGGGGAAGACGGGGAGAGCAGGGCAGCCCACAGGAAAATGGGGCTCTTCAGTCCCAAGCCCCCCAGGCCCTAAACCCTAAAGGGGGAGCCCACCTGGCCCTGCGAGCCCTCAGGTTTTTCTAAGTCACAAGCATCCCGCCATGGGATGCAGTTTGGGGCGCAAGTAATGACCACGGTCCCACCCTTTGGGGTGAAAACAGAGGCATTAACCAGGAACAGTCTCCATCGAAAGCCCCTCCCCTGGCCCCAAGTCCCTGGAAGCGCTGGCACCGGCACCTGATGTAAAAGCTGTCGCCAGGCAGGCCCTTGACCTTGGAGAAGTCCTCTGGGCGGTACTGCACCTTCAGGCGGACGCCATCCTTGGGCTTCAGCATCTCCACGTAGACCTCCTCCACCGTCTTGCTGCGCACGTCCAGACTGCCGTACTGCCCAGGGACAGAACCAGGGTCAAAGGGCAGAGGCCAGGGCAGCTTGGGCACCCATGAGGGGCAGATGGTGGGATAAGGTGTAGGTTCAACATCCCTTAAAGGAGAACCTGCCTGCCCCCTCTTTGCTGGCAGGGCTGGCACGTCTGCCTATGTCCCGTCTGCCCTCCACAGCAGGATGGAACCGTGGTACCCCCACCAAGGCGGGGGTTCTAGAGACAGGGACCCAGCCCTCACGGCACACAGCTGAGCGGTGTTTTTATTCCTTCTGTGGCCCAGAAGAAACCCTGCTCCATCCCTCAGCCAGTAACACCGCATTTCAACTTGCCTACACAACTGGCATTTCTCAAGGCCTACAACCCGGCTCCCACCATGCAGGAGACCAGGAGGGCAGACACCACGCTCAGCATATCAGAATCCTGCTGCCGCAGGAGCCGAGCACTCCCCTCCGGACAGACGGACAGATGCCAGGGCTCAAGGGGCCAGTGATCTCCCAGGGGGTCTTGGCAGCTCCGCCCCCTCTTGAGAACAAGGAAGCCTGATGTGCAGACAGAGCGCTCAGAACTCACCTCCAGGATGAGGTCGCCCGGCACCAGGCCGTCGGGGCCCTTGGCAGGACTGTCGTCCTCCACCTCGGCCACAAACACCCCGTGCAGGTTCCCACCACACAGATGCACTCCAAGCTCCAGCTGGGACTTTCTGACAAAGACCACTCGTGGTTCTGGGGGCTTCTTGTTGGCATCTCCCACCATCCTTTCAGGAGAGAAATGGAGTTCCTTCGTCAGGCCCAGGAGGAGGGCAGGGAAAAGGCAAAACAGCGGCCAAGGCCCAACCTGTCTGCTTGCTCCCACGTCTCCTGAGGTCTCAGAACCCAGGAGCCAGGAGGTCTGACTGCAGGCCCAGTTCTAGTGATCCGCTGAGGCTTGGAAGAGGTGAAAATGGGGCCCTGGTTGCAAAGCCAGTTGGCAACAGAGTGGGCATCAAGCCCCTGCTTCCTGGCCAGCTGCCAGCCGCGTGCGTGCCTCAGGCTGAGTGTCGCTCCCACCTGGCGGTACTTGCTTTCCTCACCTCATTCTGCCCGAGGAAGGTGAGAGCCAGTCCCACTGACCAGGACACAGCTCAGGCAGCACATGTGTCCTGAGCAGCTGCTAGGCCCAGGGACAGCACTGAACTATGGAGAACGGCCCCGTGCCATCGAGGAAGCCACAGTGCAGTGAGGGAGACTAAGGTGCTGGCAACAGACCGAGCGCAGGACAGGGGACAGGGGTGGAGCCAGGGGACAGGGGTGGAGCCCGAGGACAGGGGTGGAGCCCGAGGACAGGGGTGGAGCCCGAGGACAGGGGTGGAGCCCGAGGACAGGGACCTCAGGGAGAAGCCAGGTGATGACCATGTGCTGCAGGTAAGTTCCAACGTGACAGACCCGGTGCCGAGGCCACAGAGCTGGCCTCATGCTGAGTGAGGCCGGGCTTGGCTGAGGCCCCACCATGACAGGGAAACGGTTCCATACAGGGCTGCCTGCCCTGGCCCATGAGGCTCTCTCTGTTGCCCATCCAGCTCCCATGTGCGCCTGCCTCCTCCTGCCCACGGCAAGGCTGACCGCTCCTCTTGATGGCTCTCCACACACGCCCTTTGCACACCTAACCCCTGCTCATCCGAATGTCTGACTCAGCTGTCACCATTCCCTGCCACACTCCTGAGGGCTCCCTTGCAGCCCGCACTGCCCCTCCTAATACGTACAAGAGAAAAAAGGAAAGCAAGGAAGGGCAGGAAGCAGGAGGGGAAAGAGGAACGGTGTGCTCACCTCCCAGATCCTGCTGTGCGGTCTGCAGCACAGATGACACCCTGTCCAGTGCCCACGCCTCTCAGAGGATGTGCTCAGGCCATGACAACAACCCACCTGGACCACCCCCCTCACTGAGGCGCACAGGAGGCAGGCTTACAGCGCACATTTGCTGACCTGGAACTGGGGGCGCTCTGCTTGGTCGGGGGGGTGCCAGGGCCCTCGTCCTGCTCCATCAGCGGGTCAATGCCCGAGGGATGCTCCGGGACCGTAGCACTGCTGCCCTGGAGAGTGGAGTGGGTGCTGGCAGGGTCCAGGTGGGAGCTAAGGACACAGGACAGGAAGAATAAGGCGCGGCACTCAGCCTTCCGCAGCCGGAGCCACGCCCTCTGGTAGGGACCAGGCTACACGACACTGCATCTCATCCCCCTTGCACAGCCGGGCAGTGCTGGGTGGCGTGGGCATTTCCTCCCCTTCCCTCCTCTGCACTGTAACCCACCACAGGAGGGCAAACACAGGCAGTGCGCGCTGGTGGTCAGGGGCTCTGGGTGTGAACCCCCTCCGGCCACCACACCCCCAGGGGTGGGCCTCCTGCAGCACCGGGGACCCAGCCATCCCTTTCCACACCCTGTCTCAGGAGGGGACATCTTCCCTCTCGTATGTCCTTTTTCCAAAGTCCCGGGCTAGGCAACTCTCCCCAGAGGGCAGCAGAATGCCCAGAACTTGCAGCTGGCACCCTGGTCTCCGGTGGGGAGCCGAGCACCTGCGCACCCAGACAGCCCCTCAAGGCCAGGCCCTCACCTGGACCGGGAGTGGCTGCTGAGCTGGTGCATGTGTGGGTTGTACTGGGCCAGGATGGTGATGGTGTCGCACTGCTGCCCGATGATGAGGCGGGCCTGCTGCTCCGTGGCACTCCGCAGGTTTATGCCATTGAACTAGGGGACACCCAGAGCGGGCGGTGAGCAGCGGGGTGGGGACGCGGGGGCACCGCTTCTCCAGGCAGGGAGGCTCCCGCTCACCTCAAGTAACTGGTCCCCATACTCAAGGCCAGCCTGGTGAGCGATGCTGCCCCCAGTCACCTTGGAGACGTAGACACCGCCCTTCTCTCCACTCACGATGGAGATGCCCAGGGGCTCCGAGCCCTTCTGCAGCTTGACATGGCGCGGCTCCTCCATGTAGGGCCTGGAAGAGAGACAAGCATTTGGGGACTGGGACCTAACGGAAGGGCTTGGGGAAGGCCTGAGGCGACGCATGCACTCAGCTATGCAGACAGGGCCAGGGAGCGCCAGGCGCTCCTGCGTGGACACAGCCGAATGAGAACACGATGACCCACCTTTATACGACAGCGATACACACCCCGCAACCTCATGCTACACAAACATAACACCCCAGATGGTACGGAAGCACCCAGACACAAAGACACAAAGAAGGGTCCGTCTGAACTATACTAGGAAATACCAGCGTCCGCAGGAGGAAAGCACGGTTTTCATGTGAGATGAGTTCCCTTACAATGTGCCATGTATAAACGCCCCAGTGGGGTCTGCTAGTAAAGATGCCTTCGGAGGAAAAGAAAGGCTTCTGGGGTGACATTCACCCCCAGAAGAGGCACATAAAGCATCAGTTTCCTTATTTACCGGAACACAGGGTGATGTAAGATGACCATGGAAATTAAGCTACTGCAAACCCAGCCACTAAAAAGGGAGCGGGAGGCTCAGAGCAAGGCAGCGGCCATGCACTTGCTGGCCCAGGGGAGCTGACCGCGTGCCCAGGGCCCTCGGGGCTCGGCGGGGCCTCTAGTCGGCCAACCTCAGACTCCTCAGGGAGGAGGACCTGGGCCTGGCAGCCACGGGCAGTCTCAGGAGGGATCTGTGCTGGTGACATCTGGAAGGTGCAAAAGGTTAGAGAGGAGAGGGATGCTCGGAGCAGGACACCCACAGACTCCTGGAACACAAGACAGAAAGACAGCCACTTGACTGCGCTTCACGCTGCCCTGAGCTCTTCCTTTTAGGACAAAGTCATGGCCAGAGGCCTAGGGAGGGCTAGTAGGAGAGCCATCCCTCGGGGCTGCCCTCCAGCATGTGGGTGAGGGTGGGTCCATGTGGGTCCATGTGGATCCATGTAGTGAAGGAAGGCGGGCAGAGGCCAGGTCCTGAACCACCCACCCCTGCCACCTGAGGTGCAGCAATCTCTCTTAGAGGCTGAGATAAAAATCCTTCCTGACTGGTCTCTCCTCCCCTCCCAGACTCCCCTCCCAGGCTCTGCAATGCCTTCCTCAACCCTACGGCTCAGACGGTGAGTCCCGCGCCTGCACCCTCCATCACTTTGAGACTCAACACGTATTAGAGTGCCAGGCAGTTGAGTTTTAAGAACCCTTAGTGATGCCCTAGCTGGTGTGACTCAGTGGACAGAGCACCAGCCTAAGGACTGAAGGGTCCCGGGTTCCGTTCAGGTCAAGGGCATGTACCTCGGTGGTAGGCTCCTTCCTGGCCCAGGCCCTGGTCGGGGCTCATGCAGGAGGCAACCAATCGATGTGTTTCTCTCACATCAATATTTCTCTCTGTTTTTCCCTCTCTCCTCCATTCTCTCTAAAAATCAATGGAAAAATATCCTTGGGTGAGGATGAACCAAAAACCCTTAGTGAGCAACCACCCCAACACCCTCCTCACGCCCCAGCCGAGGAGGATGGCATCAAGGCCCAGGCCGGCCTGCGGCGTGGCAGAGTGAGTTTCTGGTCCAGGCGTCCTCATTCCCCACTGAATACCCTTTCCTCTGTCCCACCTCCAATCAGCACATCGATCTCAACAAAGAGCAGGTAACTGAAGCACAACAGCCATACAACAGACGCCATGAAGCCTAACGAATGATGCCAGGATTTACTGACATGGAACGATACCGAGGACAGGCGTGGCTGAGAGGACTGGCTGCTGGACAACACGTCAGGGAATGCTAGCTGACCCACTCACGGTGGCCTCGGCCTAGGATCAACTCAGTCAGAACGCCGCCTCCCCCTGCTCCTGCCAGGCGCCTTCCTCGACAGCTCTGACCCATTTGGGGATGTGCTGCCCATCACTGTGCCCGGCACAGACGCCCAGGCCACGCTCACCTGTCCTTTCTCCGCTCCCCGAGGGCCACGGGGTTGACTGCAATTCTAGGCAACGTGGAGGCTGAGGTCTGGGACTGGCTACAAGAGGACAGGGTGTCGATGTTGAGGGGTGACTGCGGGGGTGTGCTGCATTCAGAATGCGACAATGAACCTGCCAAAAAAGGTGTGGGTAACACAGGGCTCCATCTTGCATCTCAGCTCTCCCGCAGCCAAGACCCAGAGGGAGACGTGATCCAGACACGTGGCCCCACGCCGCGGCCACAGCTCGTGGCCTGGACTCAGACGCTGGCTCCACGGGGCCTTCCCACCCTCACATCGCCAGGCTGAGCTGGACTCGGTGTTTACAGACTGGCTGGACTGAGGAGGCAGTCACAGCCCTGCCCAGACACTCCACCCAGGGCACAGCCTGAAAAGCAGGGGCGGGGGGCGTGCTGGGAAGGCCTCACCTCTGTCGGAGCCCACAACAGACCGGGGGTATCTTGGCGTTGATGGGATTTTAATGCGCTCGGCCTTGAACTGCAAGTTGCTTGAAGACCCTGTGTTCCACAGGGGACAGAACTTTAGGCCTGAGAGTAAACACCACCCTCACCCCTCTGTGGCCATGACAAAATGCAAAGCAGGGCCCTGCCATTGATCCCCAAGGGGCCTAAATGGGGCTCAGGCCAGAAAAGCAGCTACCGAACACCCAGTATGTGAATGAACTGTGCAGGCTCTGCCTGCTCCCAAACAGAATCACACAAATCTCACTCCGCCTCGGAACAGAGGCAGCAACCAAGTGGGAGAGGCAGCTGTTCACCTGCTCTCAGAGCCTGGGCACCGCCACAGGGCAAGTGCCAGCCTCCACTCTGGCTGCCTGCCCGTAAGTAAAGAGCACTACAGCCCCCCCCAGGATGACCGACAAGCTCGGGGCGGGAGCAGGGCTCCTGGGCCAAGGGGTCGCCAGGAACAACCGCATGGCCACCAGGAAAGCGAAGAGCACAACAGACGGCCCAGGGCCACCCTGGGCCCCGGAGGGGAGGAGCCACGGAGAGGCCACCAGGAGGCGGGCACCAGGCCACAGGAGGAGATGAACAAGGCCGGACTGCCACTGTGACAAGGCAGTGGCGCAGTTACCCAGGCGGGCGCTGGAGGGCAGTGAGTTGGACCCGTGGGAGGCTCTCATCTCCGAGTAGTCGCTGCAGGCTCTGTGGCTCAGGTCCAGGCTCAGGCGTCCCTGGTGCTGAACACTGCGGGAGAACCAGACAGGTGAGGGGCCCAGACTGGACGCAGCCCCTGGGAGAAACACAAGTGACAGGCAGCAAGGCCTCCCTCCCTGGGCTGGCAGAAGGGAGGCCTGGAAGCCACTGGCTGTCAGCTGAGGACAGCAGCCTGCCCGCAGCCATGCCAGCGGCACATCCACGAGGGCCCTGCACGAGGGAGCAAGGGCCACACAAATGGAGCAGGAGCGGCCCACCCACCTCAGCCTCAGCCTCAGCCGGGGTCGGGTTCTCTGGAGGAAGAGCTTCTATAGGGAAAAGGGGCTCTGAATCCCGGGGGGACCCGGGCATGGGGGGAGGCCAGACGGGCAGAGGGCCCTGGGGAGGGACCCGGGAGCCTCCCTCAGGAGAAGTGCCTGGGAGCCAGAGGGCAGAGAGCCCAGGCACCTTCCACGCCAGGCCCAACAATGGCCTTTTAACAGCATAATGAGACTCCATCTCTTCCTGCCTAAAACCCTCCAGTGGTCTCCCCTGCACTCCGAGTAAGACTCCAACTCTGTGTTATGGCCGCAGACCCTGAGGGTTGGTGCCCTGTGACCTGGGCTCACCTCCGACCCACGCTGCCTTTGTCTGGCTCCCCGACTCTGTCCGAAGAGCCCGTCACACTGCTGTCAGGTGCCCGAGCACAGCACCAACAGCCCTCCCTACCGGGGACTCGGCCCACGTCCTGTGCAGCTGGCCTACAGCAGCATCCTCCCCACCAGGCGGCCTCCCACCATCCAACCTAACCCTCCACCGGCTTTCCCACTCGGGCTAGCTCGTCGCCTTGTTTACGGTTTTCAGAGCTACTCAATACCATGTGGTATCGCTCTGTTCACGTTTTCCTATCTGCCTCCCACACGTGAGCACGAAGGCCACGAGTAGAAGCTTGTCTATTTAGTTCTCCCTGAATCCCCCTGGAACTAGAACAGTCCACGGCATGCAGTAGGTGCTCAATAAAAACTTGTCAAATAATTGGATGAATGAATGAATGAATGAATGAATGAATGAATGAAAGTGACCATTTTTTCAGGCTCAGTTTGCTCATCTATATAAAGCAGAGACATAATAGTCCTTAGCACCTAGGGTTGCTGTGGCAATTAAATGAGATGATGTTTACAAAGGTCTGAGCACAGTGCCTGACACGTGAGCAGAGAAGGATTGGCTACCATCACTATCATCTCTCCTGAAATATCTTTTCAAGCTCCACGTTGGTGAACCACCTTCCCTGGGGTCCCAGCGCTGCTGAAACCAGCCCCTTCCCAGCTGGGCAAGGGAACCTCTACCCAGGAGCCTCTCTATGCCCTGGTGGCTTTATGTCCAGGTGGGCTTGGATGGTTGGGGGGCAAGGAGGTGCGGGAGCCTTCACATACCTGGGATGCAAAACCTGGGGGCCGACCTCTCTGGGGACGGGTGGAGAGCTGCAAGGGCCAACCCTGTGGCTACGCACGGTGTAGATGGGGTTCCTCAGGATGGAACTCACAGTGGTGCTCGGGGTCATGCTCCGGGGAACGGTGCCTAGAAATGGGCGGGGTGAGGACCGGCTCCCCAAGCACCCAGCCAGCCCACAGCTGTGCAAGCCTTTCTCTTTGCTGCTTCCTGGTTCCCAGGCCGCTATGGGGAGAAAGCACCCTGCAAGGCTAGGAAATGTCCCTGACTCTGCCTAACATCACCCAGACAGGGCAGCGCCTGCTAGCTCACGGCTGAGGACACACCGCTGCCCCTTGAAATGACTCCATTGCCCCAGGCACTGGGTGGCCCTGGGGCCACAAAGCCCTCCTCCTCCAGGTCCTGCCCGGTTGACTCACCCACAGATGCCTTGCCGGGGTAGAGCGGGGGGTTGCTGTGCCGGCTGGAGTGCCCTGGCGAGTAAGGGGACCACTCCGGGAGCTCTGGGGAGACTTCTCCGCTGGCTGAGACCCACTTCTGCTCCTGCAGAACCAGAGGCAAGAGGGAGTGGCTGGAAACAGGGAGACGCATGGGTGTCTACAAGCAACTGTCCCTTGCACACTAGCTCCTCCCACTTGGACACAAAGTCAGTCAGGAGGTGTCCCTGCTCATTCAAGTTGCCTTCTACACCTGGAGGGGAAGAACTTCCTCCAAAAATGCTCCGGAGGAAAACCACAGAGGAAGGTTCTGTTCTTTCCAATCAACAGGCTGTGAGTGTGCAGAGGTGGGCCGTGCATCAGAGCTGCGTGAGGCTCTGTCTGCAGAGCAGCACGGATCTGTTCTGCTCACAGCAGCTCTCCCTTCCGGAAATGCTGCACTCCCGCCATGCCCAGCCAGCCTGTCCTGCTGCCAGGTAAGAGTCTCTGTGTAACCTTCTCTCCCTGAAGCCCTCAAGGCAGGTCCATGTCACCTGGTTTTGTTGTAGTTTCAAAAGCTTCTTGCTGAATAAGCAAATTTAATGCTACACCCCAGAATGTGTTTCTCTCTTGGTGTCATATTCCCAGGAACGTGCACATCTACGTGACTCTGCAAAGGAAGGCTGATCCCACTGGCATCCACCTGCCTCCCTCAGGTAGATGCTCAGAGCCAAGGAGCCAGGGCCAAGCACAAGGCTGGCGACGGCCAGCTACCCCTGCCGCCCCACCCTCAGCCCAGGCTGGCCCTACCTCCAGGAACTGAGCAGGGATCACCACTGGCGCGAGCTTCGGCCGGAAGCTGGGCGCAGACTTTGGCCGGCGACGCTTCTGTCCCTGCTCGTCCACCTTCTGGGAGGTGAGGTCCTCATCACAGGACTTCTTGGCGGGCAGGTAGGAGGAGTCCCCGTCTGCTTCAGGGTAGTAGCTGGAAGCAATGCGGACCCTGCCCTTGCGAGGGGGCGACGAGTGCATGGGTTCCCCAGGGTCCACGTCGCGGGGCAGGGCACTTGGGGGGCTGGTGGACGGGGAGCTGCCCACCAGAGTGGCCTCGGATTCAGAGCTGGTTTCTAGCCTGTGCTGGAACTTAATGGAGTCACTCCTCCGGGGAGGTTTTGGGGGTGTCAGAGGCCCCACCCTCTTGGAGGGCTGGGGGGAATGAGCGGGTCCAGGGCCAGGGAGCAAGTAGTCTATTTTGGGGGGCGTCTGGGGGCGTTTGAAAGTGTTAGGGTCGAAGATGGACTTTCTTTGCTTTGGCTTCTTGTAAACAGAGAGCTTCTCGGGCGCTGCCGCGGAGCTGAGCCCGGCCTTGGGCCAGGTCCCGCCGCTGTGGGGGCCCTCGGGCTCGGCCTTGTCCAGGGGAGCCTCCGTCGCCCCGCAGGAACCAGCCTCAGTCTCGAAGGGCAGCAGTGGCCGCCGGGCACACATGTCCCCCAGCCCGCAGCCACGCTCCCCAGAGGCATCCGAGCGAAAGGAGCTCAGGCTACGCTCGGAGGCGCTGGGACACGTGTGGGGGGCGGCTGGGAAGGGCCCCCCGGGGAACGGCTTGTGCAGGAGGGAGCTGCCACCGCCTGGGGGGCCCGGCTCCTTCCTGTCCTCCGGCCTGTCTGTGCAGAAGATGTCCGTCTGCGTGGAGTTGTTGTGCTGCATCAGGTTCCGCTTGTTCTGAGCCTGGACCTCTGGGCCGTGGGCTCGGAAACTCAGCATCTTATCAGAGTCCTTGATGTTTTCAAAGATGTTCTGGCCACTCCATGAAGAGCTCTGAGGGAACACCTACGTAGGAACCACGGAGGAGTGAGGAAGAGAGAAGAAGACCACAGAACCTGGCGCTGCCACTGAAACTGCCCCTGCAGGTGGAGCAACGGCCAGAAATGGGCCACACACCCCAGAAAGCAGGCACGCGCACACACACACACACACACACACATGCATCACACGCACACATGCATCACACGCACGCACGCACGCACGCACGTACACACGCATCCTCTCCCTGACCGGGGGCTTTCTCACAGCCCTGCTCACTGGGACCCACAGGAGAGTCGTGCGTGCTCTTGACTTTGAGCACTTTCTGAAATCACCTGTATAATGCCCCACATACTCTGTGATATTATTAAGTAAAGGAAGATTCATTATTAACAATACATGTCTTTTAGTATTCACGTAATGGACTATCACTCAGCAGTAAAGAGATGAGCTATCAACCGCGAGAAGAAATGCAGGAAACTTAACTGCACATCATTAAGCGGAAGCAGCCAACCTGGGAAGGCTACGTTCCAACGAGAAGACATTCTAGAAAAGGCAGAACGATGGAGACGGTGACAAGATCAATGGTCTCCGGGGACAGGGCGAGAGAGAAAGGGATGGGCGGTGCAGCCCGAGGAGCTTCGCTCGTCACGGCGAAGCCCTCTGTGTGACACTGCAGTGGGGGACACGTGTCCTCGCACATCTGTCCAAACCCACAGAATGTACGACACCGAGAGCAAGTCCTCATGTAAACCATGGGCTTTAGTTAATACTAATGTGCTAACATCGTGGCAAATGAACCCCACTAACGCAAGATATTACAGGGGAAGCAGAGGGGGAATATGAGAATTCTCTACACTAGTGCACCTTTCCTGTAAACCTCAAACTACTCCTCAAAAAGTCTGTTATTTTAAAATAAATTTGTAAAACTTTGCTTAATGAAGTAGATGGGCCTATTTTTCCAACTTTCTATTAATCAGTATTTTCAATTACGTAGAAGAGTTGATGGAAAAGTACAATGAATGCTCATAAGCCCACCATTTAGATTCAACAGTATTTTTTACAACTGTCTACATCTGTCAATATTGCAGAACATCTGAAAGCTACAATCTTCATCCCTAACAACTTTATCACGTACTTTCCAAAACTAAGGTCATTCTCCTAGGTGACCCCAATACTGTCGCTGTACCCACGAAAATCTACAATTCCTTAGGATCAACTAATTATTCAATCCAGATTCAAATGCACCCCACCACCCCAAAACGCCCTTCAGAGCTTTTTTTAACTTTTGTTTTTAAACCAGATTCTGGTCGGGGCTCAGGCGCTCCCTGCACATCGTAAATCAATACCCCCTTTCCAGCGGCACAGAGCAGTGGAGCTGGGACTTGGCGAGAGCAGGGAACGAGCAGGGACGGCGGGCAGGACCCTTACCTTCAGGAGGGAGAGGGTCAGGGAGTCCTGGCAGCTACGCAGCAGAGACTCACACTCATTCAGAGACTTGTTGTCCAGTGCGATGCCATTGATCTAGGGCCAAACAGAGAGCCTGTCAGGCCCGCCGCCAGGACCCGTGCTCTGCCCGCCTGCCAGCCAGGCTGGACAGCGGGCTGGTTCTGTAAGGTCCCCAAGTCTGAAGCTGGCGGAGGAGACAGCCCGCCCCTACGGCCTGAGGAATCCAGGGAAGGGGCTTCCGTGGCACGTGGACCACACAGCCTTGAGCTCACTCTACAAGAAGATGTGTCTGACTCGGACCAGGACACCAAGGTGACAGGGACAGCCAGCTCTGCTTCCTGCTGTGTCAGGTTGGACCCGATTCGGAACTCCTTCGTGCACAAATTGGAAGATAGACACATGAGTCCCCCAGGGGCGGGAGGAGACTGAAAAACGCAGCCAGGGTATGGAAGGCCTTTGTAAACTAGAAAGTGCCACATGAGATGAAGTATCGTCATTGTTCACAGAGAAACACCACCACCGCTTCTGTTTGAACTCCATCCACATCCCTCTCGGCTGTGCTCCAATCTTAGACAAAGTGCATATGCAATAGGCGAACAGTCAGACCAGGCTGCACCCGCACCAGGAACATGACACCCAGCAGCGGGAAGAAACAGCCCCGTGCGGGCAGAACAGCCAACCACACACTGTACCATTCTACTCATCTACCATTCTCGAGGTGACGGAAGTACAGAGATGGAGAACAAACTAGTAGCCAGGGTTTCTGAATGGGGGAGCAGGGTGTGGGTGTCACTATAGAGGGGTAACAGGTAACATGAGGGAGATTGTGGTGATGGAACAGTTCTGTCTTGATTTTTTTTTGGTTACCTAAACATGATAAAACGACTGTACCAATATCAACTACCTGGTTTTAATATTACAGTTATGTAAGATATAACCATTAGGGAAACTGGGTAAAGGGTATATAGGAACCTCCCTCTACTACTTTTTAAATATTAGTTATGAAATATTATAACTGAATTATAATTATGCATGTAATTATTTCAAGGTCAAAAGCTTAAAAAATATACACAGAGGGATTCTTTTAGAGTGGTGGATTAATTGGGTTGTTTTTTCTTTACAAATTTTCCTTATCTTGAAATTTTTCACAATGGCCATGTTGCTTTTAACATCTGGAGCCCCCAAATCTGAAAAACACCGGCAAAGCTGTGAGGAGAGGAGCTCCCATGCACACTGCAGGTGGGGTGAAAGGCCAGGGCTTGAGGGGGCACAGGGGAGGGTCGTCTCAAATGTTAAATGCTTATCTGACCCAGCAGTTCCCCGCCCCAGGAATAACCCCCGTGGCACACTCTCGGGGGCCCCGTGGAAGGAAGGATGCAGCAGGTGCCACGCAGCACGACTTGTAAAGGCAAAGATGCCCTGAGTTTCCGCTGGGGGCTGGGGGGCCAGCTAACAGCCTGTGCTGCTGCCGCTAAGGAACTCGCAGTTACTGTGAGGACCCAGGACCCAGACACAGCGAGGAAGCAGCACAGGACACACGTCACAAACAAAACAAGGCTAGCAGTCGGTCTGTGATGATCCCGTCTGCGTGTGTTTAAGTGAGAGATGCCCATGGTTTGAACATTTCTGGAAGAAAACACAGTGAGTTGTTAACCATGGTTGCCACCGGCTGAGAACTGGTCGGTGGGGCGTCCAGAACTGGAGGAGTTCCTACCACTGTGCCAGTCGCAGGACTGGATTGAGGGGGGGGGGGGGGGTGCACACGCGTACGCCTTCACTTTTAAAGAGTTACTGACAAAGACTAAGCGTGCTGCCCTATGACTCACCCCTCACGCACTGCGGGTGTGGTCACCAGGGGTCTGCTAAGTCCCCCACAGTGGCTGCTGCACCAGGTGACGTCCATGCAGGGCTGTTTCAATGGCAGAAACTGAGAACAACTCCTATGTCCATCAGTTGTGGGATAATGTAAACTACAGGTGGTCAAACAGCTGACCACCACGAGGTGGACAAGAACAGTAAGGACCGACTTGGAAAGATATCCACAACGGATATCTGTGTGAGCACTTGTGGCCTGGCAGGGAGCACATCCCAAAAGGGGTAGAGATGCCTCCAGCAGCAAGATTACAGGGAGAGGGGGCCGCCACTTTACACACGATGGTATTGCTTGAATATCTTACTGCAAAAGAGTCTTACTTTGGTAATAAAGAAATTTTAGAAGAAATGGATAAAATATTAAATAAAAAAGATTTCTAAAAACTTATTTTTTTAAATTGGCCCCACTATGCATTCATATACAGAATAAAGGTTGTAGAAAAATACAGTGAAAATGTGAACAAAGGTTATATATTCCTTCCTAAACCTTTTCTGTACTTCTGAATTTTCTACAGTAAATAGAAACATACTATCAGAAGGAAAAAAAAATCACATTTAAATGTTCACATTTAAAGAAAAAGGCAAATATAAAAATTGTGTTCATTACGTCTTGTTCACACCTCCCAAATTTGAATCTAACTGCCCATACGCACAGCGGACAGCCATCCTGGAGACTCACCGCCACAATCCTGTCCCCCACGGCAAGAGACCCCTCTTTGGCGGCGGGGCTTCCGGGCACCACGGCGGCAGCATACACTCCATTCTCCAGACTGATGCCGCTGTCTGTGGACCACAGGGCGGACACAGGTGTCCCCAGTTAACCCCGCCAGGTCGCATGGCCCCTGGTTGTCCCGCCTCATCTTTGGGAGACGCTCTTACAAAGCGCCTGTCCATCCCAGCGCCCACCCAGGCCAGACCACCCAGGCGCTCAGTCACGTGGGTTCTGGGGAGGGACTCAGACAAGGGGGGAATGAAAAACGATGCAACCACTTGGGAAAACAGCCTAGCAGTTCTCCAAAAGGTTAAAGGACCCAGAGGCCCCACGTCGGGGGAGCACATGGGCTGCATTTAAGCAGCATCAGCACCTCAGCCCTGGGCATGAAGTGCGCCCGAAAACACAAGGAGGGGACCCCTGCCATCTGAAGCATCTGCCCACGTCAGGGGCCACTACCTTTCTGTCCGCTCAGGCTGATGTGCAGGGGCGTGACCACCTTCCCGCCCAGGGACTTCCTCCGCCGCACGACCATGTTGATGGCCCCCTCCCCGTTGAGGAGCGCCTTGAGAGCCTGCTTCTTGTCCTTGTTGATGAGGTCCACGTCGTTGATCCTCAGCAGCCAGTCATTGACCCTGCAGAGGACAGCCCGCTCAGCGCCCACGCAGGCCTTGGGACCAGTGAGCCGCTCAACTGTTCCCATCCGGGGAGCCGAATGCCAGAAAGCAGGTCCTTCCAGGATGGCCAAACGGTTAAGCTCACAGGTGCTGGAGCCAGACTGCCCGGGGTCAAGTCCTGGCTCCACCACCTACAGCTGAGTGACCTAACCCCTCGGGGCTTCAGTGTCTCCATCTGTAAAATGGGGTGGCACCTACCTCACAGGATTGTAAGGATTAACGAATTATTTAAAGTACTTAAACCAGCAATGAGCACACAGTAAGCACTATTTTCTCATCATTGGTATTTCATGGAATGAGCATGCAACGCACATCATACACTCTCATACACGGCCTGAGCCCTTTTCTACCCAGAAACGCAACCGGGATGCATTCATTTAACTGCCACCTGGCTTCCGGGGCCTTTCACTAAGCTGGGGGGTAGGGGGGGGGCACCATCCCTCAGAACCTGGGCTTCCTCAACTCTTACCGTAAGCGGCCGTCTGCAATGCTTCCTTTGTCCACCTTAGTGACAAATATGCCGCAGTCCCCGGGCAAACAAGGCTCATTCACACCTTCCGCCATATCGAACCCCAGTGCCTTCAAGTCAATGTCCTCCTGTCAAAACAGCAGCAGCCGCCGCACACTTTACGAAGCAGTGATGAGAAACACGTGGCTGTAAACCCCAAGCCACTCACTCGACTGTGGGACTGTCCCTTCGCCACGATTGACGGGGCATTTGGGCCGCAAGCAGCAGCCTCTGAGCTGCTACCACCTGCCCCTCTCGGCCACTCAGATACACGTCGCCACCAGCATCACCCCTGGGGGCCCGGCTCCTCCCGCTCTGTTCCGTGTGCCGTCAGCACCCGCCAGGCGACTCAGGGAACAATCTGCTATAACCAAGCGGGAGCAAGTGCGGGGAAAGGATGCATTTGCGCCCCGGGAGGAAAAGCTGAGCCTCCACACTAGCCTTGGTGACCCTGGGACACTGGGAGAGGGCATCCAAAGTCTCCATGTCAGGAGAACGGGCAGAAAAGACACGAAGGAGCTCACCGTCTCCCTTTCAAACTCTACAACTTCCGTTTCCCACTCCATGGAATCTGTGTCGATGGCTGAGTCGTGGGAACTGTGGGCCATCAGCTGCCGGAATCGGGCCTCCTTTTCCAGCTGGGATTCCATCTGCTCCCTGTGAAGAGAGGGAGCCATGGCCCTGGCCCTGTGAGAGGCGAAACATCCCACCCAAGTCACAGCCTGGAAACCAGGGGGACCACTCAAAGCCAATGGGCTTTCATCTGTCCTTCACGCCAGCTGCCCAACAAATCCGCAGTGCCAGGCGCAGGCTGCTTGGATTTCAGTGGGTTTTTATACTTATTTTTAAAAGGCTCAGAAATTCTTCTCACATTTATCTAGAAATTTCATGCAGTTCTACGAAAATGCCAACAAGGCATTTTCATAGGTACAGACAAGACGACTCTAAAGTTTATAGGGAAAGGCAAAAAAGTAGAACAGCTACACTAATTTAGAAAATGAAGAATTAGGTGGGAGAAACACTCTACTCGAATGTAAGACTTTTTCTACAGCTACAGACTCGAGGCTGGGGGGAACCGCCAGGAAGAGAGACACACAGATCAATGAAACAGAAGGAAGGATCCAGAAACAGCCCCACCAAGTACAAAAGGTGCAGATGTAAGGGAACAGAGGAAGGGTAGTCTTCAGCTAATGGAGCCGCTGAACATCATGGGGAAAAAAAAGAATCTCAACCTGAACACCATACTTTACTTAAAAATTAACTCAAAAGGCATCACAGATTTATATGTAAAAAATAAATTATATCCTGGCTGGTGTGGCTCAGTGGTTGAGTATTTACCTATGAACCAGGACGCCACAGTTTGATTCCTGGTCAGGGCACATGCCCAGGTTGTGGGCTCAATCCCCACTAGGGGGCGTGCAGGAGGCAGATGATCAATGATTCTCTCTCATCACTGATGTTTCTATCTCCCTCTCCCTTCCTCTCTGAAATCAATTGTGTGTGTGTATACACACACACACACACACACACATATTTAAATAAACTGTAAAACTTTTAGATGGACAATACAAGAGAAAAATCTTCAGGATCTAGGGCTAGGTTAAGGGTTCTTAGACATAACATAATGCATTGAAATAAAAAAAAAATCAATAAACTGGACTTGATCAAAATAAAAACTTAAGCTCTCAGAAAGACCCTGTTAAGAGGGAAAAAAAGGAGTAGAAACCTTGTCCTATCACTTGCATGTAATGTCCTTCTTCCTAAAACCTGGACCCATACCACCTTCCCAGTTCACTAGCCCTGTCCCGGGGCTCCTGGCTGATGCTGGACTGACTTTTGTTTCCTGCCCCCGAGAACAGCTCCAGGACCACACCTTGGCTGGGCTGTGCTCTCATTGGCCAGCTCTAGATGCCACTCAGCCTCCCTGGGCCCCGCCCCAGCCCAGCCCACCCCTGCGCAGCCTGAAGCTGGGCACTGAATCTGACTGCACCCCTCTCCTCCCTCCCACTGGGTCCCTCTGCTGCTCTGCAGGCTGGAGGCTTCCTGTGCAGCAGCGCGGCCTCCATCCCCAGCATCCCCGGTGAGAACTCAGTGGAAAGAGGTGCAGGTACAAATGTGCGGAACAAGCAAAGGAAGCTGACTTCTTCAGAGGGCCCCGCAACCTGGCGCCATGAGAATGGAAACCTCCTCCTGTACTGAAGCCCCAGGGGGTCTAGGCTGCACCTTCATTTGATCCCATCACTGGCTAGATCCAATGTGGGTCCCTGGAGAGACTGTGGCTTTGCAACCTCTGAGGTTTTCCTTAGAGCACTCAAGCCCAGAGGCTCCAGGCTTCCATCTAATAATGAAGTGCTCGTCTTACGTTAGATGTCACTGAGAGGGAAGGGGAAGCTGCACTCCCTTCAGGGCACAGCTCAGTGGGCAGGGCTGGCACACTCCCACTCCCCTGCCTCTCGCCTCCATCACTGGGAAGCTCCTGGCACAGACAGAGCCGCTGCTCCTCAACCAGAATCTGGTCCTCGGCTGCAGTGATGGCTCCTGCGCTCTGCAATTTCTCTCTTTAACCTTTGATATTTGTATTTTCAATCTACTGCTTAGAGTCACCAAGGCTTACACGACACCCTGGGAGCTCTGCTGTCACGGAGGGGGGTTGTCTTACATTCCAAACAGCCTCTTCCAGATGGGCCTCTGAGTAACACAGCAGGACAGACTGGGAGTGGTGGTCACAACCGCTTGCGAGCACCACAACAGTCATCACGATGTTCCTTTAGTACGTGTCTCTCTGACGGGCCTGTGTGCTGTGAGCCCCACAGGGCAGGGACCTGGCCGGCCTGCTCAGCCGTCTCCCCTGTGCCTCCCACAGGCCTGACCCAGGGCAGGTTCAGTTGATGAAAGAGGGAGGGAGGGAGGGAAGGAATGGACAACGCATGCTCGCCTGCACCCAGATGGGCTGCCTTGGAGCAGGCCCTTCCTTCGTATACGCCTTTGCACACCTCCATGTGCTCACCAACAGGCCACGTCTCGGTTGGTCTAAGAATTTCTAACTAACTCTGCACGTGGAGGCAGCATTTGGACCCATTCTACAGATTGACAGAATAAGGCAGAGAGAAGGAACAGATGGCCAGGCCCTGCCCTGAGAGGAGGGTAGGCACTTCGCTCCCAGGTACACGCAGCCCCAGCAGGCGCCCACCCCAGCGTACTTGAGCTCCTTGAGCTCCCGGCTGACGTCATTCTTCTGTTTGCGAGTGTCGTCCAGGCTGCGCAGGGCCTCCGCCAGCTCGGTCACTGCCCTGTCACGCTCCCGCCTCAGGTTGTCGCAAAGCGTCCTGGCAGAGGGCAGAGGGCAGGGTCACCATGAGGGGTAAGGGGTGCAGCACTCACGGCCTGCAGTGAACACCAGGCACCTGCCTCGCCCCCAGAGGCACAGGAATGTTTGAGAGTTTGAAGTAAGACCGTCAAGGCCAACCCCACTGAGGGGCAGAGGCAACACTGAGAACCCAAGAGAAGAGACCCCCCTCCCCGCCCCCGCCCCAGTTAGCACGCAACAAGCACTGGGTTCCAACATCCAGTGCTCATCCCAGGGCCTCACCCTCAATGTGCTGGGAGTTAATGAACACCCTCCCCTGGCCCACCCAGCACCAACCAGATGCCTGACAACCCACATGAGGCCTCTCAGAGCTGCCCCCACCCCACGACCAGACAGAATCGTGCCTCGTGCCTCTCTGTGGCCTGAGCTCTGCGCAGGTGCAGGCTGGACAGCTCTGCTAATGGACATGTGGCTGCCAGGACCTCAGGACCACCTCGGCTCCTCAGAGAGGAGGTGGGGACAGGCAGCGTGGCAGCAGGGAGTCTGTGCTCCATGCCACCTCGGGCACCACCCCTGCCACTGGAAGGACCCTGAGAGCTGGTACCCCCCCTCCATGGCCCCAAGTCCCCCCACCTGAACCCTCACCTCTTGGCCAGCTTGCATGGACATCAGTCTCTCCTTCAAAAGGCCACAGGGGTCTTTCAGAAACTCTCAATTACCAAGTCCTTGCTCACTACCAACACCCCACCCCACAGCCTCTCCTAGCTCTCCCTCCAGTGGAATCCACTCCCGGGTTCCTTTCAGGCCCTTAGAACTGCCCTTAGGACACAGTCAGCTGCCTCCTCCGACTCCAAGTGCAAAACCTGCTCCAGTCACACCATGTCCCTCCTGTCTCCACATCACACCTTTGCTTATGATGGTCGCTCAGGCCGCAAAGCCCGTCGTCCCCTATGGGAAAAGCCCACTCGTGCTTGCATTCTCGCTCGAATTCCATGCTTTCTGGGGAAACTCCCCGCCTGCTCCCCCTGCCCAGTGACACCTCACGGCCCTGGAATTCCGTTCATGCATCCTCCTTCCCTTTGCCCTGGCTGGCAGAGCTGCCCGTGGCCCCCACAGGCATCACACCACCTGGGAGCCTTGGAGCTGTCTCCCAGAATCTCCTTGCTCAAGGAACCTCAGATCCTGGCACACAGTAGGTGCCCATTAATACTTCCTGGGAGAACGCAACTCTGTCAGTGTCGTCAGCAGCCCCCTGAGAACCAGCCTGGCCTCGGGCCACTCTGCAGGGTGTGTGCCCACGGGACCTGGGTGAAGTGCAATCGATGCACAGACGTGTGGAATTCTAATGCCCTGAGGCGAGTGGGGCATCGCCCAGGGAGAGGAGGGAAGAAGCCAGACACTCTCACCTTACCCGGACCCGTAGCAAATGACTGCGGCCCTCCCCACAGACCCCGTGTGCCACGGGAGACCCGAGCCCACGCCGCCCAGGGCACCGTACCGGATACTGTCCCGCTCGGCCACGATCTTGTCCCGCTCCTGGAAGGCCCAGTCCCGCCGGCACTTGGCCACGTCTGCCTCTTGGAGGGCTTCCTTCAGCTCCTGGCACAGAGCCTTGCACTGCTTTCGCAGGGTCTCGGCCTCCTTGTTGGCCCTCCCGGCGTCAATTGCCACTGTGTCTTTGATCTGGTGGGGCGAGGGCCAGCAGAGGAGGAGGTTACTGGCCTTCTGGCTCGAAAGTACCATCCGCCTGACAGGAGCTGGGGCTGGGCTGAACTCTCTGGAGCCAGACGGAGGGGAACACTGGGATCCCAGCCACAGCCCACCCCTCCACCCCCCTGCTGCGTCCCTGCCTCCCAGTGTCCTTGCGCCCCACAGCTATGCTCAGACCCCTAGTGACGTTAGTCTAAGTCCAAACTCTCACAACTCCACACAGTGCCTAGACTAGAACCCCCGTCTCTCTCAGCCAAGGTCTCAGTGGCCCAGGCGGACCGTCTCCCCTGGAGGGCTCGCTCCAGGCTCCACCCTGCCACTTACGTGGCCTGTAGCTCACAGGGAGCCACCACGTTGCTCTAAGGTGCCCCTGTGAGCCCTGCCCGCGTGGCTCAGTGGTTGAGCATCAATCTATGAACCAGGAGGTCACAGTTCGATTCCTGATCAGGGCACATGCCCGGGTTATAGGCTCCATCCCCAGTGGGGGCGTGCAGGAGGCGGCCGATCAATGATTCACTCTCATCATTGATGTTTCTCTCTCCCTTCCTCTCTGAAATAAATAAGTAAATAAATAATTTTTTAAAAAATAAAACTAAAAAATACAGTGCTCCTGTGACAACACATAACGAAGTAAGGCCCACGTGCAGTGAAGGTGGAGGTCCTGGTGAGGATCATGTCCGACTGGCGGCAGCACTGTTTCTGTTCTCTGGTTTTCGTGCTCCAGCATCCTGGGTGACTTTCCGGTCCGAACAGGCAGCAGTGCTTTGGCGGTGAAGCCTGTGTGTCTCCGTTCGATTTAAAAGCTGAAATCTGAAGCATTTGCATCCTGACACTTCCCCGGAGCATGACATGCTCCGTTAAAATTCAAGTCCAACCCTTAGAAGCGCTCATAGGGAAAGCTCCCCCTGTGCCCCTCTGATCCTTAGAAAACACGGGGAGACGATAAAGCAAGTGTCTACTCCTCCTCTGGCTCACAGGCTTCCTGAAGGAGAGGAACAGACCTGCATCTCCGCCTCTGAGCGACAGGCGTGCGGAAGACAAGCACACCCAGGCTCTGAAACACGCCGCGACCGCACAGGTTCAGCCAAGAGGCAAGGATGAGGGAGACAGAGGGAAACGTGTGCAGTCGGCTTCTAACTCCCCCTCATCTCTCACGTCCAGCGCCAGGGGGCGCTGGGGGGTGGGGGGATCTGCACAAAAATAACCCCTTAACTCGAGAGAGAGGGGCAGTGCCACACTGCTGAGACACACTTTCCGGGACCAAGTCAGCCAAACGACCTCAGTTTTCATTTTTCCCACTTTCATGCAGTGCCAAGTATTTGTTTAGTTTGATACATTTATCAAACCAATTATTTTTATTATTCTAGCATGAATTTATTGTAGTAAGTCTTAGGTTTAATAACGTTTTCTTTTTTAAAAAATGTATTTCTTTATTGATTTCAGAGAGAAAGGAAGGAGAGAGAGATAGAAACATCAATGATGAGAGAGAATCATTGTTTGGCTGCCTCCTGCTTGCCCCACACTGGGGATCGAGCCCACAACCCAGGCATGTGCCCTTGGCTGGAATCGAACTCGGGACCCTTCCGTCCGCAGGCTGACACTTTATCCACTGAGCCAAGCCGGCTAGGGCTGATAACGTTTTCTTAAATTTATATTTTACTCAATGTTTTACATTAACATAGTTTTCTATTGGAAACGTGTTAACATGTGGTTTCAATGAAAGGTCTTGCCTTTTGGCCCCGGATAAGCATCTCGAGCTGAAGGCTGGAGGTGGAGACAGAGAGACCAACGCCAGGGGATCAGGCAGCGCCTACATCTCCCCCCGCCCCCCCCCCCCCCCCCCCGCCCATCTCAAACACCTCCAAAACACTGTTTCCTTCTGAGAAACACCGGAAGCACAACACTGGGTTTTCTTGAGAGGGGAGAGGAGGAATAAGGTATCTTTAAAAGGGCAACAGAACTGAAGCTGAGGTCCCTTGTCTGAGCCCCTGATTACACCAATGAGGACCCTCAGGGTCCAGGAAGTAACTGCTCCCCGAGGTCCACCTGGGGGAGCTGGGCCCACACCCCAGGTCTCCAAGATTCTTGCCCCTGGGCTTCTTCCTCCACAACACGCAGGTCTCCCTCTGCAAAAGCACCACCCGTGATCTCCTCTGGCCCCCGGGGTGGCCTTGGGGCAACAGGCTAAGGAGGGGATGGGCTGGCTTTCACAGGACACTCACCCCCCTAGACCCAAGGCCAAGGAGAAAGGCCTAAGGGCAGAGCCCACACGGGTGGTCCCATCAGGCCCCGCAGAGATTAAGAGCCTCCCACCCACACCTTAGAGCCAAAATGGCCCACGCGGGGGAGTGGGGACGTGGTCCTGGCGAAGCCACACAAAGCAGAGGAGGACTGAGCGTGTCAGCTCTGGAGCCTGCCCCGGTGGCAGTGGGCTGGATCGGTGCCTAGAAAAGATTCCTGCCTCAGCTGACAGGCAGACTTGACACTGAGCCAATGCCCCCTGCGAAGCCGGAGCCGGCTCCCGGCTGGAGGGCACGCCTGAGTGCGGCAGTGGGGGCCGGGCTGCCACCAGATGCTAGCCCTCGGAAGTTGGCGGTTCTTCATACTTCGCGGTGCTTTCCACATTCCTAAAAGGGCATGGTTAGCCTCCTAGTTTCAAAATCCCCTCCACGTGGGCCAGGTCCTCTCCCGGGCTCATCTCTTCTGTGCCTGATACATCGGCCTTGACTTTCTAGTGCAGTGACCCACTGGCTCAGTCATTTTCAAAGATTTCCTCTTCATCATTTTTTTTTCCTTATTTGATAACAACATTTCCCCAACCCTTAAGTTCTCAGAGGCCGGAGTGTGAAAACCATGAGTTGATAGTTTTTCTAGGACAATTACCATGTTCTAATACATTCTGTTTGCTTATTAGAAATTCCTGCATCACAGTCTTTTAAAAAATTCATCGAAGTAAACTCTCCTTTTCACAACGGCTTTCACCTTGACGGTCTGGAAAAGTCTCACTCCCTGGATATGGAATTGCCATTAGTTGGCCCTTTTTTGCCTACAGAGCACTTTTCCAGGTTCCTGACAAAGTAGCTAACAATCATCTTAATAACAAAGATTCAAATCATTCCTACTTTGTGCGGGCACTAATCTAAGTCCGTTTTCAATATTAAATCATGTGATCGCCACAGCCACGTGAGGTAGATGCTATCCACTATCATGTCCATTTTGCAGAGGAGGAAACTGAGGCCCCGAAATATATGAGGTCACATGACTGAGAAGGCCCACTCCAAGCACGGGGCCTGTGCCCCTGGCATCCACGGCCCCCCGCACTACCTGGGCATGAGGAGATGTCACTGTCCACAGAGGGCCTCACAGGGCCCTGGCCACTCCTCAGGCATCAGCCCGGCCTCGTGCTGGTCCAGGGGCTCCAGCTCCCACAACCCAAAGCCCGCCATCCCCTGCCAATGCGCCCAACCTTTAACAACCTACACAGAAGAGTAGGACAGAGAGGCATTTCAATGGGGAAAAGTCTGCTATGGTCAAGTTCAGCAGGTCTAAACAGCCACACACTGACCGACAGGATGGGAAGGGAACCTCAAATCAGGGAGCCGGCAGGACACATCTGCACTTGGGGTGAGGGGTGTCAGCGATGAGGCCGAGGGGCCAGGAGGAAGGAGGAGAAGGGTCCACACTGACCCATCCCTCAGGAGCCAGGCTAAGTGGCCTGACTCTAATGCTAGTGAGCCCCAGGCCCCCGACCCCAGAGGCCTGTCCCCCAGGAAGCAAGACTGTAGAAGGGCCTCTGGCACAGCCTCGCAGACCATCTTCCCAGCAGGAGCCGGCTGCCCCTAAAGAGTGGCCCCTCAGATACTGGGAGGAAGAGCCCTGAGGGTACTCTTCTGACTCACTAGCCAAAGGTGCCTATGGCTTTGGGAAGTTGGCCTTGGGAACTTTCTCCTGAATGAGCAAGTGTTTGGGATATCTGCTGACTTTCAGCACAAGACTGACCAACAGTGACTTAGCCAAGCGTCTGAGTGTGAGAGTGTCTGTGCATGGAGCACACGCGTGTCTGGGCGTGTCGCCTGACTTTCTTCCTACACTGTGAGCCGTGCAGGCTGAGACCGCGGCTGGACCTCCCCTTGCATTCCTGTGGCACAGCTTAGAGCGGGCACTGAGCGCAGCGAGTGCAGCCGTCTCCTGCAGCGCCCACGACCCAGCCAGCACGCAGGCCTCAGCGGAGAGGCTCTGCACTCCGACTGGGGAGCAGGCTGCTCGCTGGACACCATGTGCGCGGCAGCCCTCCCTCCCTCGCCGCTCTGCCAGAGTCTGGGAGGCCAGTGCCCAGCCCCCTACCTGCCGCAGGGCCGCCATCTCCTCGCTGGCCGCCTTCTTCTCCGACGTGCTGCTTTTGAGCTTGGACTCGGCCAGCTCCACTTCGGTCTGCAGCTTGTCCAGCTCGGAGATGACCTGGTCGCGCTCGCTCATGATGAGCTTGTACTCGCTGTACACAGCGTCCCGCTCCTCCTTGTACTTCTCCGACTCCTTGGCGGTCTTCGCCTGCGCGGTCCTCAGCTCCGTCAGCTCCGACTGCAGCAGCTCCATCTCCCAGTGCAGGTCCTTGTTCTGGGCCGTGGCCTTGTTCAGCTCATGGTGGATCGCCTCGAACCTGGGGAGAAAGGCAGCCAGGACATGGGGGGTGGGGGGTGGAGACCTGCCCGGTCAGCTCTGCTGGACAGTCAAGCATGAAGTTTCAAGTGAGGTCACCCTCCGCACCCCCAGGAGGGAAGTCACGGAGCGCCAGTGCCCGGGACCGGGAATTTTTCTCAGCCTTTACATATATCGAAAGTTGAACTGAGGACTTCACGCCCCTGCTCTACTAGAAACAGTAGCAGATGTCTGCCACGGTCCAGCTCCATGATTATTTTTTTAATGCTGGAATCACAGCATATGAGAGATAGGTGGCCTCATCAGTCATTTAATCCACCTCACTTTACAAATACAGAAAATAAGGAGATGTAGTGGCTGGCCCAAAGGCACCAGGCTAGTGTGAGAGCACAGCTCAGCCCTTCCAAGCCAGGAGGTACCTTCCACGCAGGCAACCCTGCAAGTTAAGAGCCTGCGGATCCAGAGTAGCATTTCTGAAAGTGTGTTCCTTAGAACACCCATCCTGCATGGCGCTCCATTAAAAAAAAGAAGAAAAAAGAATGTTCTTGGATGACTTATGTTCGGGAAACACTGCATTCTGTCCAGTGCTCAGTACCCGCGTGAACGCTCTGAGCAGTCCCGCGTTGCAGACAGCTGAGTCTGTGTGCAACCTGGCAATTCCAAAACCTTTTCATATCCAGAGAACACTTTTCCTAAGAAAGCGGTGAGCGCTCCAGGGAACTGGGATTCTGCAGAAATGTACTTCACAGAATACTGAGACCAGGGCTCACTTCCCTATGGATTAGATACCTTAACAAAAAAAGGAAGACATTCTGGAAGAAATGATGCCTAGGAAAACTAACTTTGCAATTTGATAGGTAAGTGACTGACAGAAGGGAGAGGCTTGTGGGAGCCCTAGGAAACGGGACGGTCAGAACACCCCAAAGTTGTTCAAGAGAGGAAGAACTTCTCCCAGGACACACAGAGTGTCAAGAAAACGTTTCCCGGAAATGAGCACTTTTTGCTTGAAAAAGCACAACGGCTGTGCTGCTTTCACTCTTGGGAAGCCTCTGGGAGCCTCACAGATAACCACACGCCCCAGAGGACAGTGCCCCCGAGCACAGAAGGTGCCGTTCTCCGCCCTCGGGGCCTCCCCCTACCTCCGCAGGGAGAGGGCGCACTGGTGCTGCAGCTGGATGGCCGTGTCCCTCTGCTGGGTCAGCATGTCCGTCTGCTTCAGCAGGCGCTGGTTCTCCTCCTCCAGCTGCTCCAGGCGGCTCAGGTCCGAGTTGTGGATGGCAACCTTCTCGCTGTACCTCTTCCGCAGGGCGTCGTAGTCCTTTTTGACCACCTCCAGCTTGTCCATGGCCGTGTCGTACAGCTTGCTGAGGATTTCCGATGACCCGTTGTGCTTCAACACCTGGGGCCAGAGAGTCACACTCATCACGGGGCTGGGGGCAGGAGGAAGGGCAGGCTGATAGGAGGAAGATTGCAGACTGCAATGCGGGACTTCGCAGAGCCTTCACTCTGGCACTGAGCACTCTCACCTCCCGGCGCTGGGGGTAGAACTGCTGACCAGGGAGGAGGCCCCAGGCGTCTCAGGTGACTCCACAGCCCTGCAGTCACACTGGGTGACTCATTCGTTCCTACGCATTTGGTAAATGGTGTGCTGAAGGGAGCTACCCGGCAGGCCTAACTTCTCTCCTTAGAAAGGCTGCTTGCAGGTCCACCCGTGGCTGGTGCAGGGAACCTGGGTGGCAGAGTTCCCTACACTGATACAGAACTTCCCCCAAGTGACAAGGGGGACTTCCCGTGCCTGGAGCAGGTGAACAGTGTGGCTTAGGTTGAGCACCTGCTTTCTCTGGGAGTCTGAAGTCTGAGCACAGGCGAGGCAGCGGTGCCTCCGGGGCCAGCCCCCAGGAAAAACCCTGGGCCGGGAGCCGCTCGGGGCTTCCCTAACACCACTCCACACGCGCTGTCCCGACTCGGTGCCGGGGCCCTGAGCATGTCCTGGGACCTGCACTGGTTTCCTCTGGACTTCGCCCCACGCACCTCTGTCTTTGCTGAGTTTGTGTTGTGTCCTTCCACTGAAATAAACATTAGCTGCGAGTAGGATTATATGCTGAGTCCTCCTAGACCAGGGGTGGGCAAACTTTTTGACTCGAGGGCCACAATGGGTTCTTAAACTGGACCAGAGGGCCGGAACAAAAGCATGGATGGAGTGTTTGTGTGAACTAATATAAATTCAAAGTAAACATCATTACATAAAAGGGTACAGTCTTTTTTTTTTTTTTTAGTTGTATTCATTTCAAATGGGCCGGATCCAGCCTGCGGGCCATAGTTTGCCCACCGCTGTCCTAGACCCATGGTCGGCAAACCACGGCTCGCGAGCCACATGCGGCTCTTTGGCCCCTTGAGTGTGGCTCTTCCACAAAATACCACGTGGGGATGCGCACGTACAGTGCGATTGAAAACTTCGTGGCCCATGCGCAGAAGTCGGTATTTTGTGGAAGGGCCACGCTCAAGGGGCCAAAGAGCCGCACGTGGCTCGCAAGCCGCAGTTTGCCGAGCCATAGTTTGCCAACCACTGTCCTAAACAATCACCAAACCTGGGGACCACCAGGTCTGAGAACCCCCAACACCAGCACCTGACATGTTCTAGAATCTAGACGCTGGTGATGCCAGACACAACACATACAATTGCGGCTTGTGTCCCTCAAATCCTGAAGGAGGATATAAATGCATAGGTGGACAGACAGAGATAAGTAGACAGATAGAAAGGAAGAGAGATAGACCAAATAAAGTAACTTCCTAGCATAATAAGAGCCATCAAGAAAATAACGAATAAAGTAGGCTAATGAGCAGGAGAGGCTTTGGGAGCAGGTGTGAGAGAGGCGAAGGCCTGAGGAGGTCAATCTAAGAAGGTGATGCAAACGAAGAGCAGCAGCCCAGAGCTCGCCTGGCAGAGGGGTGAGCAGCACAAGGGCCCTGCGGCAGGAACGCACAGCATGTTCTAGGCACAAAGAGAAGGGCAGGACAGAGCGAGGGCAGAGCGAGGGCAGAGCGAGGGCAGAGCGAGGGGAGCCAGTGCACAGGGAGCAGTGGGTTCAAAGGGATCCTGACGGCTGCACGGCTTCAAGGCTCACAGCCAAAACGATGTCCTGAGGGAGAGGGGAGCCCTGGGAAGTTTTAAGCAAGAGAGCAATCACAGGTCCGCTCGGGGCACTGCTCTAGAGAAGCAAACAAGAAGATGACTCAGGAGGCCGTCAGGGGCCTGCAGGCCGCTGAGGTCAGGGGAGCTGCTGGCACTGGCACGTCACTCCACCTCCCGGCTTTCGGTTTCCTTACTCCTCAAATGACAGGTCTGAACCAGAAAAGCCTGCTCAACCGTGCCAGCTCCAACAGTCCAGGCCCCGCCTGGCCCCTCCGCGTGGACCCCGGGTGATCAGAGCTCGGCGGCCGGAGAACCAGAACCTGGAGCTCCCGCACTCAGGCACGAGGGCCTCCTCTTACTGTGCTCCGCCTCATGCGCATCACAGTGGTGCGTTTTCTTACAAACTGAAGGCAGCACCCTTGCGGGCAAAGAGACACGGCTCCCGGTACTGCGGTGATCTGATCGGTACTGCGGTGATCTGATCGGGAACAGGACCTGCGATATCTCCGAGCTACCCTGGGCAGGGTCAGCCTCCATGAATACGATTCGCAGGAAGGGTTCATGAGCGACCAGCACCACCCGAGGCAGGAACAGGAGCGTGTCCCTGGGACACTAAGCATTAGCTCTGGGACTGCAGACTCGCGCAGAGGAGGGGAACCTCAGGGAGCAGCTCATGCGGGGCTTTTAGTCTTTTTCCTTTTTTAAAAAGAAAGGAAGGTAGGGAGGGAGGCAGGGAGGGAGGGGAGAGGGAGGCAGGGAGGGAGGGGGGGAGGGAGGGGGGAGGGAGGGGGGAGGGAGGCAGGGAGGGAGGGGGGAGGGAGGGGGGAGGGAGGGGGGAGGGAGGGAATCTTACAAAGACACCAAAATCCAAAACTCCTCAGTAAGAGGTCCCCTGCCAGGTACAATCCCCGCCGCTCTGCACGGATGGCTTGCTGCTGCAGAAGGACCCACACGAGAAACAGCCGGGAAAACCACTCCACCCGCTAAAGCCCTTTCTTAAAACAACCAGTGAGTCTCTTCCACACACACAGAAAGGCACAGCTAATAAAGGAACAAAGTTCTAAGTACCCACCACTTAGCTCTAATCTCAACATCGCGTCGTCTGTGTCAAATTGATTTTCAAATACAACATTACTGGTGTTGCCAAAGCCCCCAGTACATCCTGCTCATCCCATCGCCCTCTCCTCCCCCCGCAAGGAATCGCTCCCCTAAACTCGCTGCCGGCCATCTCCACGCGGGCACAGTTATCTGTGCTTCTCTAAGGGCATCGTGTGCCCTTCCTTTACTTAACGTTGCCCCTGAGACTGAGTGGAGTGACGCAGGCAGCATCTCACCGTATGAAACCAGTCTCCCTTTTCCGTCTGATGAACATCCACATTGTCTCATTCATTTTTTTTTTTGGGGGGGGGGTTCTGTGGGGTTTGGGCTGTTATGAATGATACTGCCTGAACACTGCTGCACTGTCTGCTCTCCCACACCTGAGGGGTCTCCCTCTAGCAGCAGAGCGGCCCCGATACCATGTCGTGACACGGACTTTTTCACACCTTCTGGACAGTATCACATTGTCTACCACCGTAGGATCTACCAGCTGTGGGCAAAGTTCCGAGCGTCACCGTCCTCAACACACCCTCGCCAAGATGTCATACTTTCAGTTTTTCTTTTCGTTCTTAATTGTGATAAACTACACATAGAACTGTCTTAACCATTTTCCACATTTTTAAGGGCACATGTCAGTAGTGTTATGTATAGTCACATTGTTGTGCAACCAGTTTCCAGAACTTTTCATCTTGCAAAACTGAAACTCCAGGCCCATGAAACAACTCCCCTCCTCCCCTCCCCACAGCCGGGAAACCACCACTCCCCTCTCCGTTTCCATGAACCTGACTACTACAGGCACACCTCACATCAACGCAATCATGCACTATCCGTCTTTCTGGGACTGGCTGATTCCATTCAGCATAATGTCCCCAGGGCTCATCCGTGCTGAAGTATGTGACAGGATTCCCTTCCTCTGGAAAGACAATATTCCACTGCATGTGTGTAGTGAGTGCGTTTTGTTTTTCATTCATCGACAAGGACTCCTGGGCTGCTTCCACCTCTTGGCTACTGTGAAGCAGTCAGATGCTTTGAAGTATTGCCAATCTCATGGGCACACAAAAAAGATTTCTTTTTTTTAACTTACATTCTGATGGCTAAAAAGACAGAGCAGCCTCCTTATGTTTATTAACTATACACATTTTCTCTACCTCTCTTCTTCTTCTTTTTTTTTTTTTTTTTTTGGTAGAATTTATTTTTCAATTCCAGGTCCTGATTCTTTCCTAGTTATATTTATTACAAATATCTTCTTCCAATATGTGGCTCTTAAATTTTCTTGTAGTACCTTCACTATACTAAACTTCCACATTTTAACACTGTAAAAACTATCAATCATTTCCATTATGGTTTGTGCTTTGGCAGTGTTTTTCGTTTTTTTTTTAAATATATTTTATTGATTTCAGAGAAGAAGGGAGAGGGGGAGAGAGCTAGGGAAACATCAATGATGAGAGAGAATCACTGATCGGCTGCCTCCTGCATGCCCACACTGGAGACTGAGCCTGCAACCTGGGAATGTGCCCTGGCTGGGAATTGAACGATGACCTCCTGGTTCATAGGTCAACGCTCAATAACTGAGCCACGTCGGGCAGTTTTATTTCAAAAGTTCTTTCCTTCCTACCTTGAGACCAGGAAGGTATTCTATTATTTTTATTAAAGCATTAGTTTACTTTTTACATTTAAACCCCTGAACTACGTGGAATATATTTTTGTGTATGGTTTGAGATGGAAATACAACATTATTCTTTCCATGTGTCCCAGACAAATGAGAACTGGGCCCCTGAGTGTAGGACAAAGTGAGACACCTGAACCTGTCTGAGCGCAGGCAGTGACGGCTGGAGGACACTGGGGACATCGTCTGACACAGTGCCCATCACTGAGCGACGAGGAGGGCGCCCAGGGGATGTGCCCACACGTGCCCAGGACACACGGAGCCAGTGGCGAGCTCTCCTGATTTCCAGGTTAACCAGTGCCTTCTACTCACATCTGGACAGTCCAGCTTCCAGGACAGATTGCCCTGACTTGTGGGCAGGACTTGAATGTTTCAATTAAAAATCATTTCCACAGGCCTGAGTGGCCCAGTGGTTGAGCACTGACCCAAGAACTCAGAGGTCACCAGTTCGATTCCCAGTCAGGGCACATGCCCGGGCTGCAGGCTCAACCCCTAGTAGGAG